CAATTTTTATATGACATTTTATTGTTTATGTCGACAGAATTTTATTGCTACTCCTATATCAGAATCCTAGATTGGTGAATTTATATATATTGTTAATGTCCAGGTGTCTAACGAAATTGAATGCCGAAGAATGCCCCAAAATACATGTTGCAAATATTTTTCCCTGTTCCCATGATTGTCTTAAGTATAGAATTCGAAGAAACTGCTACATTATATAGGCTGCATTTACAAAAACACCTGAAGATTCAGCCGGCAATCAAAGCACATCAAACGATGCCAAGCAATGGTCCTCTAAAACGATATCTCTGTTATCAAACTTCAACAATATACATTGTACTTATTTCAGTGAAAATATCACAAAGGGGGTTTATGATTGAGCCCCCAGCAGAGAAAGCGTCAAAAAATTCTTTATTCGTGAAAATAAAATTGTAATTTGTTTTCCAATGTCACTTAAATATTAAGCGAAATAAAATTCTTGTTTTTTGTGGCGAGATTCGATCCGTAATTTTATCAATACCCATATCAGTGAAATTCATAAATCAAACTGCTCCCAAAGAAAACAATTCCATTCAAGTAAAATCTAAATGTGGGGTCAGCTCTACGGGATACAAGTTTTACTCTTTGTGTTTTTAGCCAGACCTTGGATCCTTTCGTCTCTCTGTTTTCGGGTATATCGTATCGCTCGTTATCAAACTCTAATCTTTTACTAACATAGTGACAATCTTGTTGCTATTGTGACGTGAATTTATTACACAGGGTGAGAATTTTTTTCCAACCATTTTTATCAATGAAAGCAAATGTGAACTTTACTTGGGTAAAATGCTATGCACTATCACGTACCGTAGTACGACTTGAGATTTTCGTCTTTATTCTTTCTTTAACCGTATAATAACTTTAATTAGCGGTGACCACAAAACAAAATTGCCAATTACCGTTTTTAAATTTTTATCGATTTTATGGAATCCTTATTGGCAGTAAACATATCTATTTTTTAATCAACATTTTTGAGGTAAATGTTGGCTACCCCTCTCTCAATGAAACCTGTGACTTATTTGGTAGGTCCTTGTCTGGAATGGTAGGCGTTAGAAGTAATCCGGCAGACCGACCGCGTCATAGCTCATAAATATGCATGTTTTCCCCCGAGTTATTCCGACTAATTTGACCTTTGTACTTTCGTTTTCGTTAAACCAAACAATAACAATCCTCACAGAATAAAGCGTATGCAAGTGTTTAAAGTTTAATACAATAATTGTATTAATATATTTTGCAGACAGTTTCAATGACTGCATTAATAGTATACGCGTCGGAACTTGATGGGAGGGTGGCTTAGCCCCCCCCCCTTTTCCAAATATATATTTATAGTATATAGGCATTCTTCGTAGGTACAGCCCCCCCCCCCCCAACACCTCGCAGTATACCTTAAATTAAACTTGAAAATTTAGCTTACTGTATGAAACAAGTGCCTGTGAGCCTATCGGATGAAACTACTGGATGGCAGTTGAATATTGTATATCGACAAAAACAAACAATATTTTTTCTTTATGCTTATATATGAATGATTAAATTATGATACGATATATAAGGAATCAAGTCTTGCTGTGAGAGAAGCTGAATTGAAATTTAAAAGTTGCAATAATTTCTAATTTCTCAATTTAATCTAAGTGCGAGCTGGTAATAAATAAAGTCCGCAAATGTTACAAGAGGTAGGGTGGGGGTAACAATTTAACTTATAGTAGGAACCTTCTTATCATTAGGCCTAGAAAAAAATATGTTTGTTTCCGCTTTCAGGCTGAAAAAAATATAGGGTAGGTAGGTAGACAATTTTTAATATTATTATTTTTTTTGGCTACTTTTCTGTGACCAAAACTTATAAAGGAAAGGTGACATAAACTTCTTTCTGTCTTGAAAAAGCTTGCAAAGTTGGAGACTATCTTGCACATCATGGGACAAAAACATTATAAAAAAAATATTTAGGGTCGGTCGGGAAAGCCGAAACAAACATTTTATTTTTCTAAGCCTTAACCCAAAATTTAGAATTTTTCAATTTGTTAAAGACAAACTGTTGTACATAAAAAAAAAAATTGAATTGAAAAATTCTAAATTTTTGTAGAATGTATCTGAGTGAAAGTAAGGTGCATGACAAATATATTTTAAAAGCTAATTTTATCAACTTTATTCAAAGTTTTACAATTTTAAGTCAAAATAGAAAAAAAGAAATATATCTGTTTACCTTGAAGGTCATGTACACTGAACATGTATTATATTGAAGGTGTTATTGTCCTTACAAGACCATTCTGTGTGTCAGAAACTTTGATAAATCTTTCAATATACACCTCTAATAACTGTGCAGATACCAAATTAGCATCAATATCTATTATTATCAAAATATATATATATGTATAAATATGATTGTATTATATAAGTAAAATTAGGGTCAGTCTAGAAGATCTAACGATGAGTCGAAGCAGATTCATGAAAAAAATTCTCAAATATATGTCATTATACAATAACAGGGAATTGTTCAATTTGTCTCTGTCACCTATATTATGTAATATTATATAAATGTCAGTCTGGTAGTTTCCAAGGTCAGTCTTGCAGATTCCCTGAAAAAAGGTCACATATATATGTCATTATACAATACAGACTACATTATACAACTTCTGTACGATGTTTTAGTATGTATTACATTGAAGGTCAGTCTAGCAGATTCCATGGTCAGTCTGACAGATCCCTCACTAAAAGGTCACATATATGTCATTATACAATACAGACTACATTATACAACTTATGTATGATGTTTTAGTATGTATTACATTGAAGGTCAGTCTAGCAGATTCCAAGGTCAGTCTGACAGATCCCTCACTAAAAGGTCACATATATGTCATTATACAATACTGATTACAATATACAACTTCCATATGATGTTTTGGTATGTATTACATTGAAGGTCAGTCTAGCAGATTCCAAGGTCAGTCTGCCAGATCCCTCACTAAAAGGTCACATATATGTCATTATACAATACAGACTACATTATACAACTTATGTATGATGTTTTAGTATGTATTACATGGAAGGTCAGTCTAGCAGATTCCAAGGTCAGTCTGACAGATCCCTCACTAAAAGGTCACATATATGTCATTATACAATACAGACTACAATATACAACTTATGTATGATGTTTTAGTATGTATTACATTGAAGGTCAGTCTAGCAGATTCCAAGGTCAGTCTGCCAGATCCCTCACTAAAAGGTCACAAATATGTCATTATACAATACAGACTACAATATACAACTTACGTATTATGTTTTAGTATGTATTACATGGAAGGTCAGTCTAGCAGATTCCAAGGTCAGTCTGACAGATCCCTCACTAAAAGGTCACATATATGTCATTATATAAAACTGATTACAATATACAACTTCTGTATTATGTTTAAGTATGTATTACATTGAAGGTCAGTCTAGCAGATTCCAAGGTCAGTCTGCCAGATCCCTCACTAAAAGGTCACAAATATGTCATTATACAATACAGACTACAATATACAACTTATGTATGATGTTTTAGTATGTATTACATGGAAGGTCAGTCTAGCAGATTCCAAGGTCAGTCTGACAGATCCATCACTAAAAGGTCACAAATATGTCATTATACAATACAGACTACAATATACAACTTACGTATTATGTTTTAGTATGTATTACATGGAAGGTCAGTCTAGCAGATTCCAAGGTCAGTCTGACAGATCCCTCACTAAAAGGTCACATATATGTCATTATATAAAACTGATTACAATATACAACTTCTGTATTATGTTTAAGTATGTATTACATTGAAGGTCAGTCTAGCAGATTCCAAGGTCAGTCTGCAATACAGATCCCTCACTGTATTACATTGAAGGTCAGTCTAGCAGATTCCAAGGTCAGTCTGACAGATCCCTCACTAAAAGGTCACATATATGTCATTATACAATACAGACTACAATATACAACTTATGTATGATGTTTTAGTATGTATTACATTGAAGGTCAGTCTAGCAGATTCCAAGGTCAGTCTGACAGATCCCTCACTAAAAGGTCACATGTATGTCATTATACAAAACTGATTACAATACACAACTTCCATATGATGTTTTGGTATGTATTACATTGTTAGTCAGTCTAGCAGATTCCAAGGTCAGTCTGACAGATCCCTCACTAAAAGGTCACATATATGTCATTATACAATACAGACTACATTATACAACTTATGTATGATGTTTAAGTATGTATTACATTGAAGGTCAGTCTAGCAGATTCCAAGGTCAGTCTGACAGATCCCTCACTAAAAGGTCACATATATGTCATTATACAATACAGACTACATTATACAACTTATGTATGATGTTTTAGTATGTATTACATTGAAGGTCAGTCTAGCAGATTCCAAGGTCAGTCTGACAGATCCCTCACTAAAAGGTCACATATATGTCATTATACAATACAGACTACATTATACAACTTATGTATGATGTTTAAGTATGTATTACATTGAAGGTCAGTCTAGCAGATTCCAAGGTCAGTCTGCCAGATCCCTCACTAAAAAGTCACATATATGTCATTATACAATAACAGGGAATTGTTCAGTATATCTCTGTCACCTATATTATGTAATATTATAAATGTCAGACTAGCAGATTCCAAGGTCAGTCTAGCTGATTCCATGAAATAAGGTCACATATATGTCATTATACAATAACAGGGAAGTGTATTACTGCCATATAATGTCCCTGCCATTCAAAATATCATACAGTGCAGAGTACAATACCGGGATCTTATTCCCAAATCATATCAAGGCCACATTAAATATTATTTCAGCAATCAAAATCTTTTAAATTTGATAAAGAAGATTTCAAATAAAGAAACTGTACTGATGAAAACTTTTATCCAGTATGAAATTTATAATAATGTGGATCTGCAATACCTTAATGCAGTTTAAAACTCTATAATAGAATATCATTGAATACAAATTCATTTTTAATTTATAAATATATATTTTTTAGCATATAAAACATTTAAACATAGCAAAATCAAATATTGTCTAAAATTGTGATTCAATATAAACAGATTAGCAGTGAATGTCATTCTTTTCACATGACAATAACACATTTTTGGAGAAATTCTTTGCAAAGCTAAGGGTCATAAAAGTTATTTTCGTTTTAAAACTTTCTTCTCTCGGCTGATGGATTCTCTTGGCTAAATAAAAAAGGAAAATATCAATAAATACAAGCGAAACTTCTTTATAATAATGCTGAATAACTGTTTTTCACTCTAACAGATAAAATTAATCCCATTGTAACCTCATATTAACTTTTGATGCCAATCTCTAACCATAAGAATTTTCAATAAGGTATCTTTATTTTTACAAATAGTTGTCATGTTCAAGAAAACCAAAATATTCATTTTCTTTGCCTATACATATATTTTTCATTGTAGGAAAACTTACCTTCTTAGCAGAAGTCTTTTTGCATGATTTTTCACCATTTTCTCCCTTAAAAAAGAAAAAACCAGCAATTTTTATAATCATGCATACACAAAACTAGTATGTGAGGCAGCTGTGAAGTATATTTTTATATCAAATTTGTCATTCATAGCATTTGTTAAATTTTATGAATATAACATATATAAATTAAATATATAATATACCCAAAACTTTATTGAACACATATCGCAAATGAAGCTTTCTTTTAGTTTGTTCTCCTCCCCAACACAGTGGTTTTTTCTATGGAACTTTCTGCTACATTTCTCACAATTTATCTAGATAAATGAAATGTATATATTATTTGTAAAGAACTCTACATCTTTTCATAAACAGAAATGTTACCCAATTATTAGAGAAAGAAATCAGTTTCATATCTTAATACCCCACCTCATTATTTCTTCTTGTCACAGATCCACATGTAGGGCAATGTTCTGTCAGGTACACTGAAGCAAATATACAACAGCAGGAAAGAATTAAAGATAAATATAGAAGTAGAAAAATGTAATTACAAGATAAAATTCTCAGAAATATTGTGTATCTACACACACCTTCAAACATCATTAAATTAGTAGCAATTTTGATTCGCATCGAGTCCAGGTCTGCTTTGGTGATGTTTGTGATGGACTGCCCATTGAAATGTCTTTCTGCAAACTGTTAAGTAATTCTGAGTACATGTAGTAATTATTTAAATATCTCTATTTAAAGGACATTATATATTTTTCAAACTAAAAATAATCTGAAATTATTCATGCTATTCAAAATTTCTTGGAGTATTAAGGGAAATGCACATACCAAAAGGCAGTACACTCCACAATTGAAACTGTCAATTTGCTTTGAATGTTCCCTTGTTTCCACTCTCCACTGCCTGTTATCCAGCTCATTGAAAGCAATCATTCGTGCACCCATGTATAAACTTAATTAAAGATGAAAACATTTTTTAAACAATGTTTTAAAAAATTTCAAATATCTCTTCTATCAATGTACTCTTAACACCAGAAATTCAATATTTAACTCACTTTTGTCCACTTAATTGATACAAATTATTTATTGAAATTTATATGGCACTTGAATCTACCACTGATATTTTAAAAGGGTGTTTTCTATATATATAAATATATATTAGTAAAGCAACATGAAAATTTGTATGTGTATAAAAATTTTATTAGTTTGGTTCATGTAGGGCTTATAGTTGCTTGTGAATAAAATATAGGTCAGATCCAGCATCTGAAGCAAGTCTGGTAGTGTCCATCTCTAGATGCATCATCCGTGCAAGTTTCTTTTGCCCTAACTTGGGATAGGATAGCAAATATGATTTTAAGGATGGCCTTATGTTTTTTTCTCCTGAATGTACTTTTATGAATTTGCACTATTTAAAAAACACAGAAAACATATTCTAATATAGAATAAGGTTAACAATTTTTTCTTTGCATTCTTAAATGTACATACCACCAATTTCTTTGAACTTCTCTTATTTGGATCCTCCTCTCAGTCATTGGATTGTAGAAATAAATCAATCCCTTCTTTGGTTCAACTATCTATGTACATGTGGAAAACAAACACAAAAAAAGAAATGTAATGTATTATTGACAATGAAATGTATAATCTTTCAAATGTAGTCTATGATCCCTTGTTGATTGATCCACAGTTAAGAATAGTGTAGTGGGGTTAAGTTCATTTATAAATTATAATAATCTGATTTCTCCTTTTATAAATTCAGATGTATCTTTCAGGGTATCCGTAAGATCCTATTTCCCTTTGACCGTTATTTCCCTTGACTTCACCTTGGTTAATTCTGGGCATGATTGAGCAAGTAGAATATTGACAACTTCCTCAATTATAAAACTTCAATGTATCATACACTGTACAATTAATTTTTGTGGTATAATCATAAAAAAGAAAAAAAACAATAATTACCACCAATGTCCAATGGTGATGTTTGATAACAGCTCCTACTATGGCTTCACATTCAAATACTTTCAACTATAAATGAAAAAGAACAAAAATACAAAATAATTCAGGATTTTATGCTAAATAACGCAGGAGGTTACAATATATTTCAATTTATATGATCATTTTGATTCATTAATGAGGTAAAATTGTTGTTCTTTTTATACTTCAAGCATTCCATATTATGCATATGCACTTTATATGTCACAAGGAAATACATACCTGACATAAGATAAGGGATTTTTTTTCACATGTATGTCAACAAGTTAAAAAATATCTTTACAAGTTTCTGTATATCTTGACAATTAAAACATTCCTGAATCTACATATGCTAATTTCCAACGGTTTAAGACTATATGCCAATATTTACACTACATCATTTTAATTCAAGATGAACAATTAAATGATTTGAAAAACTACCTTCTTCCTACATCCTTCCAAAGAGAATGTGCCACTCATAATCGAAGTCATTGTTTGTGAAGGGTACATTGTGATATGGTTACCCTTTTCAATTTCAGCTTGAACTATAAATGCAACATATGCATCAATGACCTGTAAAAATATTGAAGAACATGAATTACATAAATTAATCCTAAACCAACACCCTTAAATCATTTCATTTGAATGGTTACTTTGTATAATTTAACTTCAGTAAAGCAAATTTAGTTGAACTATATTATCTTAAATACAGAGCTGAGTCAAAAGTCTGAACCTCTTTAATATTCTTCATGTTTTGTACCTTTGATATCTTTGGTCATCTTATACTGTAAACCAACTTTTTTCGTGTGCAAGAAATTTTCACAAAGTTCGGGAGAGCCTCGTCATCGCGAATATTTCTCGCCATGAACCAGTCCTTAAAGTCGCTGTTTCCATTGAGAAAAGTTTCGAGAAAGGCTTGGTCGCCAAAATTAATCATCGCAAACTTGGTTATCCCCAGTAAATCGCAAAATAAAGTCGTCATGAATAAAAGTTGGTTTACAGTATCTAAAATTTTAGCATTGTTCCCAATTAGTTTGAGATAAGGAGATTTCACCTGATCTGTTAACCATTTCCCAGAAGCGAGTGACCTAAAATCATCATCTGTCACATTGTAGTTCGACACTCTTGCTATTATATAGTTGGTACTCTCCCTGAGGCTCCATAGCTTCTTAACTGCATCTAAAGCTGTGAAGTCATATTGTAATTATCTCATCAATCATTTTGTTATGTTTTAAGTAGATGAAATATTAAAATACATCAAATTATTTTACCATTACTAATGCAGTAAATAAATGAATTGTACGTGTAACATAGAAAAGGGTGTTAATCATGAACAAATACACAATGCCATACCATAGATACAAGAAGAAAGTGAGCAGGACTATGTAAATTTTTAATATACCCTGATTGCGGTCCATCTGTGTAAGTGGTTGAATATCAGCCTCTCCCTCAAAGTGAACTTTTTTGCCAATACATTTTGTACTCCTGTCTTTTATCTTTAATATACTTTTTGGATGTTTGGAGTCTGTAAAAAGATTTCAAACAACTATTACTTCGTTGCAGATAATACAGTCAAACCTTTTTATCTTGGACATGATGGGATCAAGAAAAAAAAAAAAACAAGAAACAAATTGCCAGATTAGATTTCTGATAATTCAATATCAAGAGTTTTGGACATATAATTTATTTCATCATATCAATGGTATTTTTAACTGTTTCAGTTATTTAAGTTCCAGATATCAAAGTTCAACTGTTTAAGAACCATAGACATATTAGGGTCACAAGTAAATCTTCATGAATTAACTTGTTAGTACCTATAACAATCCTTAACATAATCAACAATTTGACCATGAAGATAATGCTTTTAAAAGCAATTCTAATAACTGTACCATTAGTTCTTGCTCCTTTGGAATTTAATGACTGAATAGACTTAAGTGCATCAATACAAGCTGCCATGGAATCTTGTGCCTCTTTATCTTCCTTTTCAATATTTCGATGCAACTGAAATTTTCCTTTCTTCACTGGAAATAGAATAATCAGAAAGTAAGAAATAACTTAAACATAAATGAATATACACATAATTTTATTCATCCCTGCATCATATAAATGATGCATGAATGCATACTGCAAATGACATAGTTTTTTTTTCATGATTAGCAGTAAAAAAAATTAAATACACACTTTATTCCTAGAATTGAAGAATCATTTGAGCCACTATTCACATTAGAAATATATACATACCAAGTGTCCATAGAAGTAGTAAAGCAAATCGAAAATTATGCTGTTCTTCCAAACCAGGACACAGTTTTTTTGCATCATTAATAATTGCCATGAGAATAGCATCATGATCACTTCCATCAATGTCTTCAGATGGAAAAAGCTGCTCTAATAAAGCAAGACCTGTACGAGCAACTATATCTGTGGAGACACTGCTTGATAACCTGGCATTATCAATCAATCTATCAACCTCTTTCTGTGACATCTCTTTCAACATTTCTACAATGTAACATACACCCTTTTTATTTTTGTTTTCTTAAAATAAACATGAGAAATGCATTTTTATATTTTAAAAATTTGAATCTCCTTTAAAAAAATCTTTTGTTGCGTTTTGTTCATCTGATCCTTCAAATGAAAATAAAATTTCCATCCGTACATGATACACTATATAGGTTAAAAAAAAAGCTTACTTATTTTTCACTGCACAAGCTTTAGAATTTCAATCATAATTTTTTTTTCAGGAAAATAAGATTCAAAAAGTAAGGTACCTGTGATATCTTCCTGTATTGTATTGGGAACCGTTTCATGTCCCTCTATTATGATTGTTTCACTACATGCACGTTCCTTCTTTTGTAACTTTAGTGGTGGCCTTTTATTTCCTCTCCTTGACCCCTTTTTTTTCTTTTTCATGTTCTCTTGAATTTTGATTGTCTTACTTGGAAAATCTTCTTGTGCTGCCGGTCTTTTTACAGCCTTCTTTGTCTTTTTATCTACATGTACATCCTCTGTGCAAAGTCCACTATCCAGGTATAAACTGTTGTTGAAGGTACTCAAAGCTTCCTTCAACTGAGCATCAAGAACTCTAAAAGCATTGGCGCTTTGGCAGAGATAGGTGGCATTATGTAACAGTGAGAGTTTTTCTCTACACTGGACTGCCAATGCTTTTAGGGACTTAGGGCCTTTCTTTGCTGATGGAAGGTCAGTAAATTGTGTTGCATCATCAGTGGCATCAAGTAATTGTGTTGCATCTAAATTTTCCAACTCATCTTCCTCAAGTGTCTCGGATGGAATTGGCATTTGAATGCCAATCACATGTGAGTCGATGTTAAAATATGGGGAGGAGATGTACTCTGGAGGTAAATCTTCCCATGATAATTCTGTGTGCTTTATGATGGCAAAAATGTGCTTGCAAGGAAGCAATGTCCACATCCACGCGTGGCATCCACAGCTTGGCATCCCTTTCCCATTGTCAATTGTGACCTGGTACCCTTTTTTCTGTTCAGTATCAGACTGACTTTTCACCTTTCATAAATAAATAATTTCATTAAACATGGAAGTACAATTTATATTAATTACTTCAATATCTTTTTCATATACCAGCTATTTTAAAGTTTTGCATGAAAGTGTATGCATAGGGATTATGAGGTAAGGAATATTTCAGGTATATAAATATTCATACAAATACAAATGTCCCTTAAATGTTAAATTTAAGGCTTTTATCTTAATTCAGCATAAAAATCTATTTTGCTAGAAAAATGGTTGTAACCTCACATGACATGGTTTCTGCTACAATGTACTTATATTATTAATAAACAACATGTTTGAATGTCTTAATTCATAATGCATTGTACATCTCCATGATTTAAGTTCACTGAAGTTACCTTGTATGTTCTATTGCCCAGAGATATAACTTCAGTTGCATCAATGGTGTCTGCTAATTCCATTTTTGACATGCAGTGCTTTATGAAGCTTGGAGGTCTGTTCTTCAAAAACTCGGGTACATCAGTTACATAAGATCGTCCAAACATATTTGTTGCTGTGGCATTATCTCTTATATACCTAAATAGAATAACACTTTTTAATTAAAAACAAGACATTTCAAGTTAGCATTGTAAAATGATATCAAGCTCTAACAGCTAAGTGTAAATATCTGAAGAATTACTTTCTATACATGAAATCAATATGGATAGGGCAGATTTAAACTTTATTGAATCAAAATTAATTTAATAGGTATTTTTGAATTAGACTATAGCATTATACATGTATAATAAAAAATAAAAAAGATTGTTAAATTACTATTAGCAAAATCTTGACACCAATTGCTCCCCCCCCCTTCCCCTCAAAAAGACAACAACAAAAAAGATGTTTGTGATACACTGATGCACCTGTCATGGCTTATGGCCAGGGTTGAATTTTCTCAAATGTATGTCAAACTCCAAAGGTCACCGTCAAGAGGTAAAAAGTGTTGGTACCCAAACGAAAGTCATGTTAAATGGAGTATACCTATTAGATATCAAAGCCATCGTTCATACTATTCAAACATCATGACCAAGGTTAAATTTTTAAAGAACATCAAACTTCAAGGTCAAATTTGGTGGTATCCAAAGAAAGGTCTTGACACAAGGAATACACCTATTAAATATGAAATCCGTAGCTCACCCAATGTGCAAGGTTAAAGTTTTTGCAGACAAACAGACAGACAGACAGACAGCTAGACAGACCGATGGACATGGTAAGAGCTATAATTCCTTGAAACTTTGTTTATGGGGGCATAAAACAGTTATTAGTCAACTATTAATCCTGATTGATGATCTTTTATGTGTACAATGAAATTCACATCAAGAGACATAAATTAATGAACAAGAGACAGTGAGAAACATACTGGACATTTCAAGCTTGATAATACTGGACATTTCAAGCTTGATAATATGAAGCAAAGGAGATCTAAAGTAACTACTTGTATACAGATGTGATGCCATATCAATAACATTACATGCAGCTGAACATTGGTATACAAAGCTAAATAGTATTTTCCCTTTTCTTGCATAACAGGCAAGACATAAAACATATTTGTGACATTTAAAGTTCTTGAGGTCTCCCATATCACAGGATATATTTAAAATTATGATTTCAATTAATGACAGAAACAAATATTTATGCATTCAAGTTGAAAAATGAAGGATGTATTTAAAAGTGTTAATGACTGCAATGGTAATAAAAAAAAAGGGGATGTGTGTTTCCAGAAGTATGAATTTTTACATAAAAATTGTATAAATATACATGAATAAAAAAAAATTTACCTTACCCTGCCATAGTATACTTACTTGTGTTTTTTTCTCTCTCAACTGTATGAATAACCATCAACTCACAACTCATCAAAACAAATTGCATGCAAAATTATGTTGCCATTTCTGAAATCCAATGTTTTGATCTCTCTGATTTACATGTATTTAACGTGATCATCATTCTTAAATCATGAAAAAAAAATCTTTGATAATTATAAATGATATGATTGTTCCTTGTTAAAGGGATTTTTTTTCATTCAATAATAATGATTCTGAAATAAAGGGGAATTTCAAATTATTTTCAAATTGTTTTTACATAACTAATTTAACAAAACAAAATTAAACCAAATCATGCAAAGCAATCAACAAATGCATAATTTTTAAAAAGGTTCATGCAACTGAAACTGAAACTTAAACCTACTTGAGCATCATTGTTGGTAAATACTGATGCACAAGGCTTGTGATCATTCCTGACACGTTGTTGTTTTTTCGCTGTTCCAAAAACTGATATTTGAAAACTTTATTCTGTCTCTCTAATCCGTTATTTGTGTTGACCAATAGCCCAGATCCATATCTTTGTGACCAAACCCAGCGCTATATATGTAAAAACAAACCAAATATAAATATTACTAGATATACAGTTTTTACATTAAAAAAAAAAATTACAAGTCACAAGAAGCTAAGGCAAATGACATCAAAATTTGACAAAGATTTAGGGGGTCCTTTATCTTGCTGTGTATCATTCTTTCTTAAATGGTTAAGTTGTTCAATCAGGAATACAAACAAAAGAGATCTGAAATTCTTTGTCATGAAATTAATAAATATCAATTAAAAAACCTTTTTTTCTGTCAACCATGTTTTTGAAAACCAGTTTCTCAGACGACTATTACTGGCCCAGATATCAGATTTTTGCAAGGCAGAGATGGCTGAGGTGTATTCACTCTCTGATGTTGCATGAGCACACCTCCTCAACATACCCAGCACTCGGTCTTTGCAGTCAGCAAGACCATTGTCAGTCTTACTGATCCATCTTGACCAACTTTGCTCTCTGTGAAAATCACAGATAAAAACAAAGCTTTCTGAAAGAAAAAAGATATGGATATAGCAGTTTGAAGTACCAGGGGTACATGACTACATATATTACATTTATATGTACATGTATAATAATTATTACTTATAATAATTTTTCTGTCAAATTTCTTTCTCAACACTGAACAGTTAGAAGTATTACTGTTGCAAGAAAATTTAATGCCATCATAACCAACAAATAATCATTATCTCTAAATAAATTGAAATTTTGTTTTAAAAAAACTTAAGAAAAAAGAATAATCATTATACCAGGGAAAACTTCCTCAATGGCAACAATTTCCCTTTCACAGAAATCTGTCATAAAGAATTTTGGTTCCCATGACCATTCAGCTGGCCGGTCCGGCGCATCAAGGAGCCAAGTTTTAATGGTTTCTAGACCCTGCATAATCGAATTCTTTCTTTCGTGCTGCACAATGAATTCTGCAGCAACACTGTATCCGACATTAGTCTTTACAGCGAGAAAAAACAGGGGTAATGCATACTTCGTTGTCCTGTATGTTGCATCAAGAAGGCAGAGGGAGTTTCCATACCTGTAACAAATTGCATTATGAAATAGGGATTTAAAAAATTAAAGCAAAAAAAATGTGTCTCTGAAACACTAAGCCCCCATATGGCATTAAATTAAATTATGGTAAAGTTTGAAGATTCTCAAATACAAGTCAATCTCTAAGATCAAGGTCAAGAGATAAAAATGTTACCCAAAGAAAGGTCACAGAAAATATAATTGTGAAATATTAAAGCCCATTTATTAACTGTTAAAAAGTTAGGGAAAGGGTTATTTTTTTTTATTGGTGGTCAAATTTAAAGGATCATAATTGTTGGTATACTTCAAATCTGGAATAATCTGTACTGTTGATAAATTTTATGCTACTTTGTGAGTACATTGTATTCGCAAAAAAATTTTTCTTAAAAATAAATCAACAACAAAAAAAGTAATCAAATTTTTTTCCCCAAAATCTTTAATTGCAGGGGCATGAGAAACTAAAAGAAATATCTGGTACAAAGCAAATCACTTACAAAATTTATATGATTCTTCAAAATATCTGTCAATTCTTACAATTAAAAAAGAAATTATCAAACCTATACAGGAGATGACGTTGGAATTCACTTTGATGACAGAAGAAAAATTCTGTTGTCTCAGTCGTCTGGATTTGAGGATAGACCTCATCATCATCATCCTGCTCTACGCACTCTACATCCTGCAAAATATCTTTGTCACTTGGTGTAGAGTCAGAGGCGGGCATAAAGATGAAATTATCCCTGGGATAATTGTCTTGCCACTCTGCTACCTTATGCAGAAGGTTTTCTTGATCTATCCTTGAATATCTATGTAAAAAAGATATTACTGAAAATTAACACTCTCTTTGCCTTTTGCATGGTCAATTGTTTTTAGTCATATGTACAAATATTAGTGTTGGCAACGAGTACCCGGTTAACCGGTTAACCGTCGAACGATGCGAGTATCGGTTAGTAAAACTGCTATTCGGTTACTCGGATAAAAATACATTTTTCATAGTAAATACGTATAAAATGATTTTGTATGCGGTTTGTAAATGTATATTGGCACATTTCCCTAAATTAATTACCGTTAATTGCCGTTAGGCTTGCTCTACTGGTTTACAATTGGGATCGATTTGTTTTGATTGGTTTTCACAGCGTATATAATTGATGGCTTTGATTACCAGGGGGGTACATGTTTTGAAAACCTGAGTTATAATTACCTAAATAGACCTGTGATAGTTAGAAGAAGTTACTTTCACAAGATGCCGCCTCAAACATCTAAAGCGTGGATATATATTTTTTTAAAAACCGACTGAATCGAAATCTGTCAAATGCAAATTATGTGAATCGGAGTTGTTATATACGGGTGGAACTACAATATGCTAAATCACCTTAGATTGAAACATAATTCGGAAACCAGTGACTTGCAGGAAACTCCACAAAAACAACCAGCAATTACAGGGTCATGTGTTGATTATTTTTTTCTTAAAGGAAAACAAACTGACTATTTCAAGTGACATTTAAAATCAATAGTGTTCGAAGATGTTGTGTTTTTTAAAGTTTGTATTTGTAAATAAATTAAAACTCATATACAATGTACGTTGCATTCGTGGATTATTTTTCCCAATAAGTAAAAGGATGAGGTTAATAATACATACGGAAACTATAGCAAAAAAATCATCCGAGTAACCGGGTACTCGATCGGAAGATTAAGCGAGTAACCGGTTACTAAAAATCGTCCGATTTGCCAACACTAACAAATATAAATGATATATACATAGACATAGTAGAAACTAGATTTTGATAAAAATAAACATTTCAGCAAGTCCTTGTCACCATACCTCAAGCGTAGCTGGGCAAGGTATATATGGGTTCTTATTGTTTCGTCTTTTGGGTAGTATGCGGCATCAGTTACTGCAGGGCGTTTTGTGTCTTTAAACAACATGGTTTCAACAAACACATGCAAATGTCTTCGCATCTCTGAGACACTTGTTACCCCATGTCCAACAAGTTCCCCCAGTTTATCTCGAACTTCCTTGGATAGAGGATTCATGAAACCCGCAAGCTGAAAATTGTATTACATATCAGTTCTATAAAAGGACACATTAATTAACACTTTATTTCTCTTAATCCTCATCTACCTTTAATAGATGAATGGTATAGGTGTGAATTCTTCATATGATCATATTTCTGTTAGTCTTAACCAATCAACTGAATCTTCTAAGTTGTCATAATATTGTTACTTGTTCTAAACAGTGCGATATGGGTGATTTCTAAACAGTGCGATATGGGTGATGTCACATTAACCCATATCAATGACAAATCTATATCAAAGTGGACGTAATGTTTATATACAGTTTAAAAAGTTAAATAGCTTGATATTAATAAAATATGCATGTAATATTATAATTGCAAAAAACTTTTGGCTGAACTTTAGACCCATAATTGGCTCTATTATATATCTAAAAAAAAATGTTCATGTACATCCATGAAAAAATTAACCTGAGGGCTGATACTGTAGTCATGGGTTGATATGGGTAATGATACAGATTTTACTATGTATCATTATAGTGACCCTTTTTTTTTTAAATATATTAATCGACTGATCAGAATCAAAATCAATAGTGTTATGTGTGTACTTTTCTTAATGGTCAATATTAAAATTAAATGACTGTAAATATCTTTTTTAGGTCTGAAGATATCAATTAGGTTTCCTATACCTTTATATGACTTAATTATTTACTGAATACAATTTGTTATTTACTTGTCCAGTAAGATGTGTTGACTCATGATCCTCGTTCTTCGGAAGCAAGATATAAATCCGCCTCTCTCTTTTGACATTACTGGGCACATCTGAAAGGTCATCCCTCAATAGTTCACTAGCATTTCTTTTAACTTTTTCTGTGTTTTTCATAACCTATCAAACAATACCAATATAATATATTTTTAAAATCTCTTATACATAAAAATGCAGTAAAACTTGGTTATAATGAAGTAACTGGGTCCTATGAAATGACTTTGCTATATCTGAAATTTGTTATATCCATATTAGGGTTTGGACATATATATTTTCATGTTTTTACCTGATAGTCAGGGAAGAAGACAACATCTTTCATGATAATCCTAGCCTGGCAATCTTTTTTTTTAGAAGCTTGAAGTAACTGTTTACGTTTCCTAGGGACTGGATGATCACCCTGATAAATGCAATCACACATTAAGAAACTCATATTTAAAATCAAATCAAAAGAACATATTAAATAAAAAGTATAAAAAGTACTAGAATCTGCTAGACTGACCTTCAGTATAATACATACTAAAACATCTTACATAAGTTGTATATTGTATTAAATCGCTATTGTTTAATGACATATATGTGACCTTTTAGTGATGGATCTGGCAGACTGACCTTGGAATCTGCTGGACTGACCTTCAATGTGATACATACCAAAACATCATACATAAGTTGTATATTGTAATCGGTATTGTATAATGACATATATGTGACCTTTTAGTGAGGGATCTGGCAGACTGACCTTGGAATCTGCTAGACTGACCTTCAATATTATACATATTAAAACATCATATGGAAGTTGTATATTGTAATCGGTATTGTATAATGAGATATATGTGAACTTTTAGTGGGGGATCTGGCAGACTGACCTTGGAATCTGCTAGACTGACCTTCAATGTAATACATACCAAAACATCGTACATAAGTTGTATATTGTAATCGGTATTGTATAATGACATATATGTGACCTTTTAGTGAGAGATCTGGCAGACTGACCTTGGAATCTGCTAGACTGACTTTCAATATTATACATACTAAAACATTGTACTGAAGTTTTATATTGTAATCGGTATTGTATAATGACATACATGTGACCTTTTAGTGGGTGATCTGGTAAAATGACCTATGAATCTGCTAGACCGACCTTCAATATTATACATACTAAAACATCGTACATAAGTTGTATATTGTAATCGGTATTGTATAATGACATATATGTGACCTTTTAGTGGGGGATCTGGCAGACTGACCTTGGAATCTGCTAGACTGACTTTCAATATTATACAATATACATACTAAAACATCATATGGAAGTTGTATATTGTAATCAGTATTGTATAATGACATATATGTGACCTTTTAGTGAGGGATCTGGCAGACTGACCTTGGAATCTGCTAGACTGACCTTCAATGTAATACATACCAAAACATCATATGGAAGTTGTATATTGTAATCGGTATTGTATAATGACATATATGTGACCTTTTAGTGAGGGATCTGGCAGACTGACCTTGGAATCTGCTAGACTGACCTTCAATGAAATACATACCAAAACATCATATGGAAGTTGTATATTGTAATCGGTATTGTATAATGACATATATGTGACCTTTTAGTGAGGGATCTGGCAGACTGACCTTGGAATCTGCTAGACTGACCTTCAATGTAATACATACTTAAACACAATACGGAAGTTGTATATTGTAATCGGTATTGTATAATGACATATATGTAACCTTTTAGTGAGGGATCTGTCAGACTGACCTTGGAATCTGCTGGACTGACCTTCAATGTAATACGTACCAAAACATCGTACATAAGTTGTATATTGTAATCGGTATTGTATAATGACATATATGTGACCTTTTAGTGAGGGATCTGTCAGACTGACCTTGGAATCTGCTGGACTGACTTTCAATGTAATACATACCAAAACATCGTACATAAGTTGTATATTGTAATCGGTATTGTATAATGACATATATGTGACCTTTTAGTGAGGGATCTGGCAGACTGACCTTGGAATCTGCTAGACTGACCTTCAATGTAATACATACTTAAACATAATACAGAAGTTGTATATTGTAATCGGTATTGTATAATGACATATATGTAACCTTTTAGTGAGGGATCTGTCAGACTGACCTTGGAATCTGCTGGACTGACTTTCAATGTAATACATACCAAAACATCGTACATAAGTTGTATATTGTAATCGGTATTGTATACTGACATATATGTGACCTTTTAGTGAGGGATCTGGCAGACTGACCTTGGAATCTGCTAGACTGACCTTCAATGTAATACATACTTAAACATCGTACATAAGTTGTACATGTATATTGTAATCGGTATTGTATAATGACATATATGTGACCTTTTAGTGAGGGATCTGTCAGACTGACCTTCAATGTAATACATACCAAAACATCATACATAAGTTGTATATTGTAATCGGTATTGTATAATGACATATATGTGACCTTTTAGTGAGGGATCTGGCAGACTGACCTTGGAATCTGCTAGACTGACTTTCAATATTATACATACTAAAACATTGTACTGAAGTTTTATATTGTAATCGGTATTGTATAATGACATATATGTGACCTTTTAGTGAGGGATCTGGCAGACTGACCTTGGAATCTGCTAGACTGACCTTCAATGTAATACATACTTAAACATAATACGGAAGTTGTATATTGTAATCGGTATTGTATAATGACATATATGTAACCTTTTAGTGAGGGATCTGTCAGACTGACCTTGGAATCTGCTGGACTGACCTTCAATGTAATACATACCAAAACATTGTACATAAGTTGTATATTGTAATCGGTATTGTATAATGACATATATGTGACCTTTTAGTGAGGGATCTGTCAGACTGACCTTGGAATCTGCTGGACTGACCTTCAATGTAATACATACCAAAACATCGTACATAAGTTGTATATTGTAATCGGTATTGTATAATGACATATATGTGACCTTTTAGTGAGGGATCTGTCAGACTGACCTTGGAATCTGCTAGACTGACTTTCAATATTATACATACTAAAACATTGTACTGAAGTTGAATATTGTAATCAGTATTGTATAATGCGATATATGTGACTTTTAAGTGAGGGATCTGGCAGACTGACCTTGGAATCTGCTGGACCGACCTTCAATATTATACATATTAAAACATCATATGGAAGTTGTATATTGTAATCAGTATTGTATAATGAGATATATGTGAACTTTAAGTGGGGAATCTGGTAAACTGACCTATGAATCTGCTAGACTGACCTTGAATATTATACATACTAAAACATCGTACATAAGTTGTATATTGTAATCGGTATTGTATAATGACATATATGTGACCTTTTAGTGAGAGATCTGGCAGACTGACCTTGGAATCTGCTAGACTGACTTTCAATATTATACAATATACATACTAAAACATCGTACTGAAGTTTTATTTTGTAATCGGTATTGTATAATGACATATATATGTGACCTTTTAGTGGGGGATCTGGCAGACTGACCTTGGAATCTGCTAGACTGACCTTCAAATGTAATACATACCAAAACATCATATGGAAGTTGTATATTGTAATCGGTATTGTATAATGACATATATGTGACCTTTTAGTGAGGGATCTGGCAGACTGACCTTGGAATCTGCTAGACTGACCTTCAATGTAATACATACCAAAACATCATATGGAAGTTGTATATTGTAATCGGTATTGTATAATGACATATATGTGACCTTTTAGTGAGGGATCTGGCAGACTGACCTTGGAATCTGCTAGACTGACCATAAAATTATACATATTATTTGTCCTTAGTTGACTGACCTGTTACATTACATAGATTAAAATTTACTCTCCTAAAATCTAATTGTGAACATGTTTGTAGTTACAAGTGCAAAATTTTTAAAAATATTTTATTGATGTTCTTGTATTGAATGGGTTCAATCTATATTTCTTTCACTTTTGAAAACATAAAATAATTTTAGATTAATAAAATTATTGAATCAAATGTGTTCTTACACATTTTTAAGTGTATTGATTGTACTTTTAAGTGTTGTTCCATGAAGATCGAGCATTATAAATCTTAAACTAGAGGTATTGTGATCAATGAGCTCACTTAATAATACCCCCGCCTACCATATGAATATAATGGCAGTATCCATGTTTTGCTCTGGAAAATCCAAAATATATGTCAGATCAAAAAGTAAAATAGGAAGTGCACAATGGCAATAATGGCAATATGTAATAAAGATTCTGTGAAAGTTTCATTAAATTTCCTTCAGTGGTATGAGAGGAGTTGTGGATAAGAGATGGGTTTTACCCCCAAAGTGTAACAGACGGACGGACAGACAGGCAGACGGACATACCGATTCCTATAACATAACTTCCCACTTTTCAAGCGGGGGGTATAATACTTATATTATACACTTACCTTAAGGAGAGAGTTCCTCCCTTCTTTGAGCTCATTTTTCTTTTTTTTGTGTTTATCCTTTCCAAAAACGCAGTGCCTTTCACACCTAGCCAGAATGATGAATGGCGTTCCATCATAAGGAACAATGCAAGGGTCTCCAACATCATTAAATCTTACACGAGACTTCTCATTAATAACTGAAACAAACATATTACATTAAAAATATTTTTCTTTGACATGAATCCTATTTAATATGTACAGTTAAATAACTAATGCTTAATCATATGTGAAATTATACTTTGAATTGAAACTTACATGCTTTAATACTCCATCACTGTCCATTCAAGACATGCAACTTAGAAAATGTTTTAAGAATAACAATCTTAGTTAATAATAATTGAATGTAAATTTTTAAAAAATAAAAGCATATTTTATACATGTAATTAATAACAAATTAAGTTTTTAGATATGTTAAATTATTGTGAAATCCAAAGCAATAAATTTAAATTTCACAAGTTTAAGGGTACAACACCCAAATTAAATGTGTACCATCTTCACTTTCAATCATGAATATAAGTTGGTTTGGGGAGGTATAGCGGCTGGAAGATAGATTGTATAAAATAAAATGATATGTGGTATTAATTCTAGTTGGTCTACATGGTCTAGTCATTAAATCAGATTAGTCCAATAGATTTAATCTGCAGTTCGATAAAATTAGATCTTACTATGTGTTTTACATATGTACATTGGGTGGGATTAAAAATTAGGACAGTATGCTAATAAAAGATCAAATGAAAAGAAGTTTTGTGTGTTTTCAGCACTCTATTCACAATATACTATTAATTATAATTCATAAATTGAATCATAAACAGTAAAAAAGGATTTATACTTCTTTGTTTTGATTTCAGTTTGGGCAGCAAGATAAAATTAAATTGTCTATTTTCTCAAATTACCATAATTACACACACACAGGCAGAGAGAGAGAGAGAGAGAGAGAGAGAGAGAGAGAGAGAGAGAGAGAGATAGAAAGAGAGAATTTTGAAAGTGCAAGATAGACATGCATGACTCCAAACAGTCCAAATTATAATGATTGATTGTGTACTTTTTACGTCCCGCTCCAGAATATTTCACTTATATGGAGACGTCACCATTGCTGGTGAAGGGCTGCAAATTTAGGCCTATCGGACACTATAACAATCGTTTTTATATCAAACGTTTATTTTGTCGAGATTGGGGTACTTGTATATCAAGTTTCTCTTCTCTGTAAAATAACGATATCTGTTTATCAGATGAAACAGGCATGCATCCCTTCAAGCGCTGACTGGTGTATTTTTTTTACCCAACGACAGAAACCAACCAACAAACAAAATGTTTGTAATTGTGAGTGAAGAATGTTTAAAATTTAATTAATTAACACGATGAAGTTTCTACGTTCGACTTACCTTTATGACTACATTTTGTTATAAATGAAATCAGTAGAAATATCTTTATTTTCTGCATTTATACTTCGGCATTTAAAATTTGTAGTTACTATACACTTCTTTTGTCTGGAAAGCTATTATAGTATTTAAGTTCGGTTATATTAAGAGTTCTCTGATAGTATTTAAACTTTTCCAAAAGCATATAAATTCCTACATAGATCGTCCGTTATTTCTGAATCCTACGGATGAAATCTCGCGATAGGTGTGTTTTCTACAAATTCTTAAAACAGAGTACCGATCAAAGTGTCAGGTCATGAAATTTTGAGAAGAAACTTCCACCCCACGGAAAAACTACAATACATAGCTCTCTTAATATTGCACAAAAAATGGAAACAGATATGCCATGAAATGGCAGAAACAATGAAAGCAAATCAACTTGATCACAGGGAAAAACCTTAATGGAGCATACCAGAAAATAAAATACTTAGAACTACTCATCTCTGTTCTATGGAATGGGCGTAAGGAGTTAGCAACTACTCACATAAATCACTTTTGCTATCATGTATTTAGTTGGGTTTTTTGTTCTGTTGTCAAACAGACAGCGAAGCTATCAAGATAGGGTATGCATTATGGAATCTCTGTACTATCAGGTCCTGTCTTGTGAACTCATTCTTTATATATCGGTTTGAGTTATGCTGATGTCTGCATCTTTATCGAAACCCTGTGATGTTTTATGATATCTTGTGTGATATCCTTCTGATATCAACAGCAGGACAGGGTTATAAAACAAAACTAACAACGAATTAAATTACAGTAAGGGATTTTTTTTCAATTAAAGGACAATCACATTTATACTGAAAATGAAAAGGAACTAATTATTGATAGACGGTTTTTAACCACAGTGTAGTTGTATCAATATTTTTATTTAATGGAAAGTAACCATCCGGCAAAATAAGCAAGTTTAAAGTAGTTTTTTTGTTCTAAGCAAGAGGGAGAGTGCTATGTAATATAAAATAATTATAAAGGCATATTTATGATTTGAATATGCAATGGATAGTTAAATCAGGATTGAACGTTGGAAAAACTGTATTTTTAAAGGAGGGAGCTTTACAATCTACATATATGTATAATTAAAACAATGCAATGCCACATGGATTTAGTTAGTTTGTTGTTTAACGTCCCTTTGAAGAATTTTCACTCATATGGAGACGCCACCACTTTTCCGGAGGAGGGCTGCAAATGTATTCCTATAATTGACACTCAGGCCATTGAGCATTGAGGGCTTTGTTCTGTGCCAAGACCTACTGCGGTATGACATGTCAATATACCGGTATACGGTGTCATCCGAAGAATCTCAATGTCCCACAGTGTATTCGAACCCACGATGTAAGGATACACTACAGTAGACGCTCTAACCACTGCGTCATGCGAGCGACCACATAGATTAAGACATTTATCATGAAAGCTATACTAGTTTAAATTTCTACTGTATCATTTGACTTTTTAAACATTTTTATAAACAAATCTGAAGTTTTCGTATTCATAATTTGAATAAAATTCAAGTTGCTCTATGTTTTTGGAGAGAGAAGATGGAGCAACCTCAGAAAGCAGAAGTGGATAACAGATAAGACTGACGTCATCAGACATGGATCAGTCTAGTCAACTTAGTTATTTAGTTCTAGCAGTCTTATGATGGAGGGAAAAATGACAAAGGTCAGAGTTTTGGGTCGTTCCTTCATATATGACGTTTCAAACAAGGTAAGTTGTGAAATAAAGGATACACAGCGCAAAATAAAGACTTAATCAGATACGTAAGTTTTGATTTGAAGGTCAAATGGTTAGTTATTTACAAAGATAATCTTGAGAGGCAGAGATATAATATAGCAGTGAGTATAAGCACTTAGGTCCTCCCAATTTCTGAAGGGTGAGATTGAAATCATGCAAAATTAATATTACATTAAAGGGTTAAAAGAGGATCAGAGAAGCTAAATATATATATTCATTGAAAAATTATGTACTTAATCTAAAATTATGTGTATCTTATGCAATTTGAATAATGACGCTTCGCGCTGAGAACTGGCACAAATTTAGTTGTTAACGTTGAAGATTAAAAAAAGTTTACATAATGGAGCAATTTCCCTATTCCTTGGGAAACGGAATCAGAACAAAGTGGGGCATTATTGAGACAATACCTTCTTTAACTTTTTTGGAGATAGTAATTAACTGTTCCAATTTAACTTCAAAGTCAAATAAAACTTATACATTGTATATATTGATCACGAGGTTCGACCCACGTAAATGTTGCATTTACTTTGATAACACATTTGTTTTGGTTTTTTTTTTCGATTCTTAAGCGTTGGAATCTGGTAGATAAAGAGATGCGCTAGATATGATTGTCTTAGACTTTGTATTTTCCAAATTATACTTTAGCAAAACGGGTTCCTGGGAAAATAAAAAGGCGTGCAAGTTTTGTACATTGCTTTTATCATTCTCACAATGTCGAGGTTTTGTAATTTCGGAATTCGGAAATCACAAGACCTTGACATTGTGAGGATGTTCTTTTATGTGATGTCCTTGACAAAGATACATAAGATACTGTTACTTTGATAAAAAGTTAATTTGTTTGTTTATTTTAAGTTTCACTCATTGACTAATATCTCACATTTTCCGGCTGAAGACTGCACATTCGGAACTCCATAACTATGTCTGTACATGTAGGATTATTATGTTGACATAATTATATGATCACAATCCGTTTAGAGAATCTGATTTATATAATGATAAATTTACTTACTGATGCAAGAATCTGATCTAACAACATGCATCCAACTAGTCCGAAAAAAAAACTTGACGCTCAGGCTTTTTTTTTAACGATTTTGATATTTGACATGTCTGGAAAACCAGGCACGTCAAATATCAAATGGTTAAAAAAGCCTAGCTAGAAAGCGTCAGATAATTCAGAATATTATACTTCATGTAAAATTAGTTGAATCTGATTGGTCGAGAAACATTTGTTAAAAAACACTACTACCCGCTGAATAATGAAGCCACGCCCTCCAGCGTAGCAACAGTCAACATTGCTTGACGACGGTTGGTATTCCAAAAAATAGCGACTGCGCAGAATTTATGCGCCCACGTTTCACTGTTATATGTATTTGTATAAAACATTCAGTATAAGATAATAAATATTGCATGTAGTTGAGTGTAACATTGAAAATTTTCACCCCCTCGAAAACCATTGTCAACCTCGGCTGCGCCTCGGTTGACAATGGTTTTCTTGGGGTGAAAGTTTTCAATGTTACACTCAACTACATGCAATATTTATATACTAACATCCAACATAGAATATAAGTAAACGTATGTTGGGACGCGACTTATTTGAGACTCTGTTCATGGGGAGGTTTGCATACTAATACAAAACTTGTACCAAAAACATTAATTCATATGCTAGAGGTATTCCTACTGCCAAACCGTGTCTCTTATACATGTACAGTTGTATTTGGGATTGTCTTTAATGGTAACTAACAACCAAGATCTATTAAACTTTAATTTTATAATTTTTCTATCGTCAACTTTTCTTACTTATGCAGCAATATACCTTCATCACCTGCATACGGATATATTTCAGTTGATTCGATACGCAAGAGCATGCTCTACGTATGAACAATTTCTAAAACAAAGTAAATTATTGACATATAAGTTGATGAAACAAGAATATCAGCAGTCTCATTATAGTCATCATTTCGTAAGTTCTGTGGTCGATACAATGACCTTGTCAGCAAATACAATTTATCAATGAGTCAAATGCTGACTGACGTTTCATACTAATTGTTAGTCCATTATCTATACACTGAATTGACGACGAATTAATTTTTCCGTTATTTCCCAATCATGACAATTGCAAGGAGCACACGGGGGTGTGGCCGGTCGGCAGGGGATGTTCACTCCTCCATGGCACCTGATCCCATCTCTGATGATTTGGAGGTCCGTGTTTGTTCTTCTCTCGTTTTGTATTGTTATATTTACTTTTATCTTGAATATTGTTCGTTATCTCCGTATGTTTCGCATAAATCTTTTTTTGCCGACATGATAAGTATTAACCCCCAAATCTTAACTTATTCGGAATACAATATTTTTCGAATGAATACCATAAAATTATTCCACAGTAATGCTGTCTGGTATTTAATCGACAGGTTTTAGCAGAGGTACCATACTTCTGTGTACCTAGCAGAATTGTTAGATACGATTTAAATTAGTTTGAACCATGTACTGAAGATGTGAACTTATCTTAAGTAATTCACTCTTTCGGTACAGAATCAAGACTTGATCTATTGATGAACGTGGGTGAACTTGTTTCCCCTCTCATGTTCGCCCTGCAATGTCGGTAATACAATTTAACTAGCAAATGGTTTGAACAAGATGCAATTTTTTCTGTCATACTCTATAAAATCCTACAACGTATGCCGAATACCGCACTCATATCATATCAACTTGATCTTGTAATTTTCTGTAACTTAAAGAGGTAACGACGATGTATACTTTGGAATTCAAGAGTATGCAATTAGTTATAGATCTAGCTCTATGATTTAAATGTCTCGAAAAAAAATTCTGTGGAAATGAAGATAATATGAGAGTGTTTTTGTTTTCATCCTGGAATTGAAGTCTACCGGATGAATTTTAGAACGTGATGTAAAGATGAAAAAATAACATTTTATTTGAAATTGTTTTGTACTTTATGAAAAGACGTAGTTACATAATTTCAAAGATTTATATGGAATTTGCACCATCATCCGTGTTATTTTGTAATCACAAAGTTCCTCAATATTTACCGGGGGTAAATCATTTAACCCCCCACTCATATTTCGATACCCTGAGTGCGAGCTAGTCTTACACGCCAACAACGCATCCTAATTATACGGACTGCAGAATATATACCCCCAGGAGTCCAAAGAAAGACAGCATATACAAAAGAAATGATAAAAAATTGTTTTCCTTGTGTCTGAAATTATTTCCTTCTCAGCGTGATGACTTCACAATATTGTAATGAGTTTTCGTCTGTATTAGCCCCATAAATGTCAGCTGCGTGGGAGGAATGTTACCCGGGGTCGAAATGATCGTAAAATATTGACAACCCTGTTTACTTATGATTCTAATTATGGTAAATGGAAGCTTTTTGACTAAAATGACACTTGGTATTACCATCTCTGGTTGAGCATTGATTTATATGACGGAGCCAGTGAGGGAATGTTAGGATTAGGGTGATCATAGCATCCCCGAGCTGCGAGGATTTTTGTGGCTAACACCTGTATGGCTTTTAATTTATGGAATCTTCCTTGTCATAAAGAACGAACAAATTGGAAGTGTGTGGCCAAAAGATTGCTATCTTGGGTGCAAATTTAAAGCTTTTTGTGGTAAATTTGTGAACGCGGAGTTAGAGGAGGTCGCGCAATGAGCCGTTAGTAAGGGGCCGAGCTCGATGAACAAATCAAGTGATTCATTATTTAGAGAAGAGCTCATAAATCCCGGGCTATTATTCTCGGATGACAAGTCCCTAAATGCTAACGATTATCAATGATACTTTGTATATTTTTGGGGTCTTGGGGTTAGGCAGTGAAGATTCGCATCAACTCAATGAGTTTTAACCCCATGCTTCAGCAGATTGCACGGAAGGTATTCTGAGATCTTTTGTTCATTTTTTTTCTTCAAAATTTTAAAGATTAAAAAATGGTCATTTTTCTGCACGAAAAGACATGCACCAAATGACAATTATAATATGAAGATAATCATTCCTGAATTTTTACCCTCAATTTTGGGACTAGGCCTTCTTTGATATGGAGCATTGACTCACTATTCCATATAATATCCTCCCCTTGTGTTGTCCGTATATTGTGTTGTCCATTGTTGTCCGCTCATTGTTGTCCTTGCATTACTGTTGTCCGATCAGCTGCTGTCTGTGTTCTGTGATTGTCAAAGTTTGCTTACATATAATGAAGGTATGCTCACCTAATATCAACAAATATTAAATCATGTAGCCGCAAGAAGCAGCTGCAGGTTTCCTAGTTGCTATTTTTGGCTCCATCTCAATTTGATCAACAACAGTTGTGTTAGTTTAAAGGTGTTTTTATAAAATAGATCAATCAGGATCTAAAATACTTTGATGTGATCGTTCATAATTTTACCAAATCCATTATGTTGTTCAGGGTCAGACGATACCTGATCTCAATGCGATGAACCTGTATCAAGATCACTGTTTATAACAAAGATCGGTAGGTTTTAAACCTTGTACATGAAGGCTACAATATATATTAACCTGTATCAAAATATGCAAAGAATTTTAAAGTACTAGTACACTGTTTGTCTTTGGGGTGAACTTGAATGGCATTCTTTTTATAGAACAATTTTTATATGACATTTTATTGTTTATGTCGACAGAATTTTATTGCTACTCCTATATCAGAATCCTAGATTGGTGAATTTATATATATTGTTAATGTCCAGGTGTCTAACGAAATTGAATGCCGAAGAATGCCCCAAAATACATGTTGCAAATATTTTTCCCTATTCCCATGATTGTCTTAAGTATAGAATTCGAAGAAACTGCTACATTATATAGGCTGCATTTACAAAAACACCTGAAGATTCAGCCGGCAATCAAAGCACATCAAACGATGCCAAGCAATGGTCCTCTAAAACGATATCTCTGTTATCAAACTTCAACAATATACATTGTACTTATTTCAGTGAAAATATCACAAAGGGGGTTTATGATTGAGCCCCCAGCAGAGAAAGCGTCAAAAAATTCTTTATTCGTGAAAATAAAATTGTAATTTGTGGAACGATTCTAAGGGGTTCATTTTTCCATTGTCACTTAAATATTAAGCGAAATAGAATTCTTGTTTTTTGTGGCGAGATTCGATCCGTAATTTTATCAATACCCATATCAGTGAAATTCATAAATCAAACTGCTCCCAAAGAAAACAATTCCATTCAAGTAAAATCTAAATGTGGGGTCAGCTCTACGGGATACAAGTTTTACTCTTTGTGTTTTTAGCCAGACCTTGGATCCTTTCGTCTCTCTGTTTTCGGGTATATCGTATCGCTCGTTATCAAACTCTAATCTTTTACTAACATAGTGACAATCTTGTTGCTATTGTGACGTGAATTTATTACACAGGGTGAGAATTTTTTTCCAACCATTTTTATCAATGAAAGCAAATGTGAACTTTACTTGGGTAAAATGCTATGCACTATCACGTACCGTAGTACGACTTGAGATTTTCGTCTTTATTCTTTCTTTAACCGTATAATAACTTTAATTAGCGGTGACCACAAAACAAAATTGCCAATTACCGTTTTATAAATTTTTATCGATTTTATGGAATCCTTATTGGCAGTAAACATATCTATTTTTTAATCAACATTTTTGAGGTAAATGTTGGCTACCCCTCTCTCAATGAAACCTGTGACTTATTTGGTAGGTCCTTGTCTGGAATCTTTTGATGTATGTAGAATGAGTCACATATTCGAACGCCGTCAATATATTGCATAATGAATAATAATATGGATTGTCTCTTATTTCCGTTCTGAAAGCTGATTCACTCCTAATTGATGTTCCAAAAATACATTTAAACACATTCATTTATCAGTGTGAACTTTTCAAACAAAATTAGAAACAATTTACTGAACCTACATGTATATCTAAGGGGAAATCTTAATCTTGTTTTGCTTACGGTTACGAAGTGTCTTGCACAAATGTAGAAAGGGGGTTCTTTCAAAGAGTTACAAAGGTTGTGAATAAAAGAATGCAGTATACCGGTATTTTGCATGTCAAACACTTAAAGAATGCGAAAGACCTATCACGATTGGCTTAAAGCATCAAAGAATTGTTTTAACTTGTAAGAAAATTAAATTGTCGTTAAATTTAACTATCATTCTACATATCTTAATTACAAGTCAATTTGACGAAAAGCCACCATTTGAGAGGTAAGCGAACCATGTGACACCCTGGTTGACTCCACAATGTGTCTGTTATTTTGATAGACATTACAGATCGGGGTACGATTTTATCATCGACTCGCTGCAATTATCTTATTTTTAAGTATTGTTTCTATTGTTCACAGAAAAATTCCAAACATTTCTGACTATATTTTTTGATTATTTCGGAACCTTATGCAACACAAAATCAATCATCCCGGATTACTGATATTGGTAATAGAATATCTGGTAAGTTAATAACTTTACTAGAAAATTATTACATATAACAATTTTTCACTCTTTATAAAGATGTAAAACGAATTGTAGAAAATTACCTACAGTTATTTGTTTTTATATTGGAGAAAACTTTGATTAATTTGCAATTGGCAATGGTAAAACGTGTGTAAAAACATTGGTCTCTTTTAGAATCTTGTGGGAAAAATTAAGAAAAAAAGATATTTTTTGTTAATGTCATTCATATCCTTGTTTTGAGTGAAATATCCCTGCTGTGGCTAGACTGTTTAGTAACGGCGCGTTTGATTACAAGACAACGGCGACACCCCGCAGTTCATATGACGGGTTTTGGTTGTCGTCTAATTGACGTGGTAAAACGCACACTTCTAACGAGAAATCTTACAAATTTTCACACATCAGCTTCTTTACGCATAAAGAATGTAAATTATCTAATCTTTTAATTTTAAATTAATCCCTGTTTTTTGTGTTAATTAATGAAATTGAAAGCTTTCCCCACTGAAAAAGAAGGGATGTATTTAGTTACACGACGAATGCTTAGTGCAATATCGATAAGCGCTAAGTTTTTTTTGTAACCGCAAGCGTTATTATAAGTTTCGTGAGTCAGAGAGAAATTCTCATCTCTTACGAGAGTGCGAGGCAGCTTGTTTATACATCAGAGTAAGATTGTAGTGAGTCAAACTGACGAACAGATGTTTGTGTGTACGCTACTGTCTCGGTACTCCGTGATCGGCTAAGTTTTGTTTTCTTGTTGTTGCATTTTATTCATTGTTGGATTTTAAATTTTAAAAAGGTAAGGTTTCTTAATTTTAAAATTCAAAATACTACTTGCACTCTAAAAATTATTTTTCATGCATTATTGATAATTGACACAAGCATGTTTTGCACAATTCTTTTAATTATCAAATTTAATACTTGTACACGATGTGCAACTTTTTTCTGAAAGAAGATTAATTAATTAATTTGCAAGGAATAGATGGTAAATAATAAGTTGAAGGAAAACCCTCTTTTCAACAAGATGCTTGTACGGCCTAGCGGTGTAACTGAATCCTTAAGATTCGGATCAGGATAGGGTGAAGATGTGAAGGATAATTAAAACTGACACTTTGTATCTGTTTTTGGCGATAACTGGGATAATTTATTGACTTTCAGACACTTGTACTAATTGTATCAGTAATTTATGACTCTCGCTACACCCGCGGTGGCACACGGGGTGTTGAGGTGCTAGGCTGTCATGTTATAGCGTGAATTAGTGGCCTAATGGTCCATAGTTTCTGCTCCGGGTCAATTTCATAGACGATGTAATTCAACCAAAGACAACATAACATAAAATTTAGCAATGTCAATAATAATAATTCGAGGAATGTTGGATTTTTTTATTTTGATGTTTAAATTATGTTAAAAACAAGCACTTTGTGACAAGTTATTGGTTACTTTTCTTTTAAAAAATAAGAATAGATTGAATTTCGAGGATATTCTTTTTAAAAAAAAAACTTAATAAAAAAGTCTATTTTAATTTTAATTACTTAAGCGTGTTTGAGATTTTGATAAACTTGACTTTGAACTGTCTCAAAAGGTCGCGAAAATAGCAATATTCCTCGGCCTACATAAAAAGTCAGAATCAGGTATTTCATTTTCCATTGATAATGTTTAAATCTCGGTATTATTTATTTACGTTTCGAGTTTAAATTGAATAGCAAGCACAAACTGCAAAGCTAAAAAAAATTTACAGTAAATGAGGTTGATAAAGTCTTCTCCCAGTTGTACGAATTGGCAAAATTGAGCTAATAAAATATTCCCAAAATAACTGTTTTTACAACATATATACAGACTATTGACTGCCAAAATTCGTCCGTGCTCTAAGCTACACTTCACTAGTTGAACCCGTTTTAATGTGTTAAAATTGGGTTTAAAATGGAGGGAGAAAAACTTAATATGTAGGATTGACAAAAGGCAATGAAATCAATATTTGGGGATGAACCCAAATTCGGCACGAAACGGTTTAGAGGGGATTACAGGTGCTATAGGATAAAAAACATAAAGTAACTGTCGCTTGTTGACAGACATAGACCGGGGAAGGACTTATTGACAACGAGCAGGATAGGGGAACAATAGATTGTATGAACAGTTGGCGGGTTTTACGACCGCCCTCTGCCGGCGAGTCTTGCCTACTGATTCTGCGTTTTCTATTTACAGCGGACGAGTGGCCGTGTTTCCTCAGTCGTCACAGACCCTCAGTATATAGATCAGCTGATAGAAGTTAGTCTACCCGACACCTGACATGGAGCAAGACACCTGATATTCGTCTCATTCAAACGACAAGACGTGATTTATAACGTAATGTCCCTCTAAATTCAATACTATTTTGAAGAAAAAATTTCTTAGAGGAAAGTACACCGGAGTGAAGACAGATATTTGTTATCATATTTTCTGGAAATTTTAGTGTCCCAACTACTGACAATATGAAGCTTGGAAACTTATTTTACGTATTTTCTCTTATTGGTGTTTTATTTTTTGTGGATTCTAACAATGCTAAATCGCAACGTTCTAAGTCTGTTAAAGGATGCAAGTGTCGTAAGTTTTACAAACACATCACAACTGATCTAGATTCAAAATTTCGGTCCTTAGAGAAGAAACTAATGCTGCACATGTCGGCCTCTGACATGGTGATGAATTCTACAGGATCTTACAGGGAACTGGACACAAAAATGGGACGATTAAGGGGGGAGGTCATGCACACCAAAAAAGCCTTGAATTCAGAGACAGAAACTCTACAGAGACTTAAAGATCAAATCCGATCTCAGAAGAGAAGCATGGAAAACATAGATAACCATTTTGTACTTTTAGAAAATGTTGTTAAAAACTTAACGGAAGTTATAGGGAGGCTAGGTAATCTTGCTCCGTCCGTAGCCGTGCACCGGACAGTAACGGAAATACTGACGACACCGTCACCGACCGTCCAACTCAAAACAACCACGGAGCCTGTTAGGGCATACCCAAGACGTAAGTCTCTTGTTCATGTAATTCATTAATATATGTTCATAATAATATAATATTGTTATTTTTTAGCAATTGGTTACAGTATATACAGTATATAATCTTTGTCTATAAATATATTTCTATTAAGTCCAAAATATGTAACAGCAACTTTTATAAAAGCCTAAGATTTCGGTTGGGATTTGACAGTTATATATGTAAGAAATGTCAAAAATGAAGGCGATAAATTTCATGCTCTATAGTATTTCAATGTCCTTGCTAGAATATGTAGAATGCGACAGATCAGAATAACTGTAATGCCATTGGCCCAAAATTAAAATAAAGACGCAGGTGTTGCGGAGATTAAGGTATAAATATTCCTGTAATGCGACTTTTTGTGGCATGCAATATATACCGCATGATATTAAAATCTTAATCTTATCTATGTATATATAATTGTATGTATAAATATTTGGAGGTACTTCTGAAGAAAATTCTGCAATATCGTGTTGCAATAAAGGAATACTTCACAGAAATGTAACAGATTTAAAACCATGCTTTTTCCAAAAGAAAATTAGGAAATCGCTATGTTAATCTTTCTTGAGAATGACAGGCAATATTAAATATATTTGTATGGTACTATTTAAACACTTACAGTCATCCTCCAGAGATTATAAAATAAATTCAGACCTACGTAAAAATAGTTGGAAATAGTTGGATCGGCATGTTGACGTTGCATTTTCAGCCATCAACGTTCTGGGGCGTTAATTCTTCCACGAGGCAGATGACTATTAAAACATGTTAATGTAGAATTGTGCTTCTTTTTACATTGAAATCATGTGCTTTGTCATCAAGGTAACGAGATAATCCAATAAATCCCATAAATTATTCACGCCCACCCAGCAAAATATCAAAAATTTGTATGAGGATTTAAAATGAATAAATGCTTACATTTTTATGGAATTATGTAGAATACGCAAATCTATCTTCATATCGCCAGAAAGATGTGTGTATATTATGACATTGACGAAGTTATAGGAATTTCTTTGTTGGAGGTCTTGATCTGATTTATTAGGGAATAATTTTCGATCAGGGATTAAATGTCAAGGCTTAGGTGGATCTGCAAAAAAAAAAAGCATGTGGTGACCTAGAAAGTCTAAGGCCTGAGTAAATGTCTGTGCCTCCTAATTCAAAACAGACAGTGCTGCAAAATTAGATGGCGGGTCGAAACAATACAGGAGAAATTAGTCGGAACTCTTTCAAAACTTAGACTGAAAATAAAATAAACTGACGAAGAATAATTAAGAAAGGGTAAATCATCCAGTTATTTGCTTTCGTTATTCGCACTGACTCGTCGTACACACCACGTTGTTATTATTGACAAGATAGAGTATTCCTATTGTTGATTAATTTATCAGAGATCTTGTTTAGAGAGCGTGGAAAAGGCGTCAACATATGAAGTGAATAGAGTCAGTTATCTAGCATAAACAATCATCTTATTATGACCTATCTCACTACAAACCACAAAATTAGCCTAGAATGATCGGGTTCGGGGTTCAGCGAGTACCCCTGATAAATGACCAACAGCTGGCAAAAGAAGTCCAATATTTGTTCATCGAATTAGGATTTGCACTTCTTTTTAAAAAGAAAATCTATTTGAAAATATACATGAGATATTTTTCTTTATCTTCTGTTTAACTTTTTACTTTTGTTGGAATTTGTATGATCTCCGTTTAGCAAGGTCAAGTTATTAAAGCATGGATATTTGGCGTGAGGTGCCAAACCAGAGTTGCATCTAGACTGGTGGTATATATATTATATACGAAACGATCGGTAATTCGATGGAAATTTGATTACATTTTCCTTTCAAACAATATTTATTCTGGGAGAAAAAATCTGACCAGATTGAATAACAAGCACTTATTTCCCTTTATCTTACCAACCCTGAAAAGTTGCTGTTGTGGCAATTTCATTACTTTCCTTTTGACCCCTTGCGCTTTCGGTGCGATCTTCTCCAAAAACTTCACAAGTTTTCACATTCCAAAAGTATTTATTTTACTAGATATGATTTGTAAAGTCAACTGCATTATCATGTATATTTGGGTCCAATTCCTGCAATTGTTGGAGAGCCACATTTTTGGCATACTAAATCAGTGTAAACTTACTGTAATTACCGAGTCGGGTCCCCGATTTTTTTCCCCAGTGTACAAAAGGTAGAGATAATGTAAAGATATGGAATCATTGCAAATAGGGGAGCATATTTATGCTTATAGTTCACAAGAGGATTCAGATCGTATTAAATGTGATGTAGTACCGAGTTCACAATATATCTCTTTATCTCCTTATAGCCATTAAAATAAACTTAAACGGAGTCTGAAATGTCTCTGTTGATGATGATGCATGTTTTAAGCCAATTCTTTTAAAGGCAAAGATAATTTTTTACTTAAGTAGTCTACAACAAAAATATTTTTATTAGTTTATTACCCTCTTTGATTGAAAAAAGTATTATTTTCGTTTCAAGGTCAGTTTTATTGACGTGTAGATTTGAGGATTTGATATTATTTTTTAAATTTTTTTTGAAGAAGTAATGAGAGAAATAGTCTATTCAAATGCTAAAAAAGCAAAGTGTATTGAATGACGAAGTTCTCCAAAAACTGATTAGCCTTTGTATCTGAGTTGCTGTCTTTGTATGGCATAGATTAGAGATATACAGCACTTATATCAGATACATCTAATCAGTGGATTAAACACTGTGATACATCCGAATTTGAAGAAAACTCGGTGACGGACAGGTCTTTAAGCCTATCAGCCCATGACTCACCCGTAAGAAAGATCAAAAGATACCGCTGAACGGGGTAAAATTGTGAACAATTCAGGAAACTTGACCCCATATTTTGTCGACACTGAAGTCATTGTTTGTGTCCAATCATCAGTTTTGGACCATGTAAGACAGACACAGAAACGACTTAATCCAAACAACAATGTCAAAATCAGGCATCCTTGTCTTACACCTGTGACGGCTTAATATAGGGTCAACACTAGATAAGTTATGCTACATTGTGACAATCTAAAATCTCTTTAACGAGATCAGCGATTGAATCATCGTGTTTGTCGACACTGCGTAAAAGATAGCGATTTTCTTTTGTGTAATCTTTTAAAGAAATCAATGATTGGGAAGGACAGGGTGGGAACATAACAAACCTCCTCTTTATTAGTAGTATCACCCGGCAGAGAGGGTTAAAGCTGTCCAATAAATGGCTAGAAACTAGCTCTGAGATAACCACGCCTTCACGAACTAAGAAAATACAGCAACAACACAAATACGTATACGGTATACATCAAAATGATATAGGAACATAATTTTTTATTTATAAAAAGTTTTGTTCATTGTTTTGTATGATAAAGTCGTTAGTCGTCTTGTTATCTGTTAGTGTAATCAATTAAAATAAAAAAAATTATTGTGGAATTTCCCCTCAAAATTTCGTAAAAGATTCGTAGAGAACTTTTTTTCTGATTGTGGGCAGGTACTTTTGTACTAGACAATTAGAAACAGAAGACAAGGAAATTGAATCAGGGGAAGTTGTTACTTTGAACTTATCCGAGTTATTGCTTAAACAAGTCTTTGTCGCTGATAAGATTTAAAAGAAAAAAGCAGATGTGATAAAAGTCAAAAATTAACCAGTAGACGGAATGGTTTAGCGTCAGAGAGCTATCACAGAACAGGCAAATCATCACTTTGTTTTGTGATCAATTTGCGATATTGTTGCCAAAAGACCATAATAACTTAACGGAAACCACAAGTTTTGGAACTTGGCATAACACAATAAGGTGATAATTAATTCTTGTACATAATTCTCTCTAGACTACTTGATCCTAGAATTTGGGTTTTGAATGTATTTTCAAAAGACTGATCTCACAGATTTTTCAGGAAAAGGGAGGATTCTCTCCTTTAAAGTGATTTAATAGATCAGCGCAAATTCAATAGCTCGGATGAAACCACAGTCTGGTCTTGCGGCAGCTAAAACGAACAAGAAATATTAAAAGAAGTAAAATATTAAAAACGAGGCAAATTGACTGTTAAGCAGCCATATAATGAAACTAAATTTTTTTTTCTGATGAAGCCTATATGTATAAGCCACTTCAGAAGACAAACGAACGTTTTCTGAGAATTAATGAAACATCCACTCTGTCTAAATACTTACAGTTGTAAATGTACAAAATTTTCAAGGCTCTGGAAAATAAACTATAGCGCAGAGCAAGTTGTCTTTAAATGTTGAGAAATTAATATTGAACTTTTCTGTGAAATATCTGTAGTTCATTCCTCTTATTTTAATCATTGATTTTACATCCTGGAAACTTTAGCTGATACAAATCTCATCTGGTCTATTGCTTGATATCATTTGATTTCACATTAAAAGAAAGTGAAAAGTGAAAAATTAGACTTGAATGATCCAGAATAACCTGTCCTACTTCTGATGAGAAAGGAGGTCATGTCGGAATTTTGTCATGTAATGGGTTGACACAGATTTGTTATTTTATCCACGTTTCATTAAGTAGTCTTATTTCATTATCAAATGTGAAACAGCGCTGGATAATCTAATATTGAACAAGATCTTTTTGCAATTATGGTAGTTATGTTCATAAAAAATTTCTAATTATGATATAAAGTTACAGTCTTAAAATGATTATTACATCATGAGAGAGAGAAAGAGAGAGATAAAGAGAGAGTGAGAGAGAATCATTGCACTTGGATTAACTAATAGCACCAACCTTTTTATCTAATGTTATGCCATATCAGCAGCAAAAAAATCATAGAGGAACAAAATTAAAGAGAACATTTTGGTTGTAATCTTGATGGATAGGCCCAATCTGATGTAAATTCATTTGTTTGAATGCTCTGCCTGTCTGGATATCATAAGATGGTGCTTCTATAGAGCGTGATGTCTTCCCCCCAACCATGCTCTTTACCAAAGACGTATAGCACTCCAAATGTCAGTATTCTGTTAAGATATAATAAAAGCCCTTAACTTCTACCGAGAACAAACGATTTTCCACCACATCAAGGCCCTAAATAATGTGTAAAATATTTGTAAGGCTTCTGCATAAGTGCAAGACACTTTGAGCATACCCCATGTGACGTCACTAAATCTATTTTCCATAACCAAAACAAACTTCTTCATGAAGCAGTAGAGATCGTGATCTTGTGTTCGCAAGTTATATCAAATCAAAACCACAAAGAATAAATGCGTATTGGAGGAGAAACTCGCTTATTTTCAGTCTCACTGGAGCAAATTTAATATAGCTGAATTTTCCTGAAACATAATTATCTTCGGCATCAACTTATAAAATTAAGGCCACCTGACTTCTTCTCAATGTTTAATTCAAACTTTTCTAAAAATTCTCAGTGATTTGCGTATAAAGTACATTTTTACCACACACCCTTAAGAAATTGGTCGAACTTAAACGAACCGTGTACTCCTTGTCTTCGACGAATCAACTTCAAAGACTTCATTTAATTAAACATCTTTATTATTGGAGGTTAAATCTAAAAAACAAGGCAGATTTTCTTTGCTAAATGTTTGCTCTCGGCTTTTTCGAGTTTAGACAAAGTTGTAGGAATTTGCAAGAAATATGCTTGCATCATCTACTTATCTTAAATGTACGAGGGGTGTTAGAAAAGTTCGCGGACAAGTTTTATTGTGAGCGCGCTATTTCCACGAAACCGGTCAAACTTTACAGATAAAATCTTTACCTTTTTTCCAATTAATATACAAGAATTTGGTGCTCTCCGATGATTATTGAAAAATATACAGCTTTTTTATTTTGATAAATCTTGCTTCACGGAGCATGCTACATTTTGGCACGTTTACATCACACTCTTTTTTAAAATTAAAAACATCGCAAATAGTTTTATGATATTTTACCTGCCGTTATAGTATTCATGAAACGTCACTGGGAGAAATTTTGAACTAAATTGGAGGGTATATGACTGTTTTATAGCCGTTTTTAACTGATCAACGCTTAAAAACACAGCCAAAAATCGGAACGTCATTTAGCGTCATGGAGCACTGCACTATGTAAAAATTATGTATGCAGACTGGAAAATGTCTAAAAAGAGATTAAAATGTTCAAGACGGGAATTTCCTACACCTACAAAGGACAAGTTTTCAAATGGTTGTAGCTTCATAAGAATGGAAGGATTAACATTTTGAATGATTACCTCCATTGATACTTCAATACCCCCGTATCGCATGGACGTTGTGTTGCGCCTATATGGTTTTGCATAGTTTCCATACCTGATCGATTAACTGCATAGACTTTTTTAAAGATCTCAATAATATCCGAATCAGTACAAAAGACATTATATAAAAGAAAAGTAATATGTCTTGATATAGATATTCAATTTTAAAGTAGAAAATAGATAAGAAAAATCTGAAGAAATGAAAGATTTATAGAACTTTACCGGTTGAAATCTGGTTGTCACGTCGCCTTACGTCAAGTGATTGCTCCGTGAATTCCATGACCTCATAGTAAAAATGGTTGTAAATTTTCAAGATTTTATTATATGGACCTGATTTTTTACATACCAATAAACAAAATGTAGGAATTTATTCAGACATAGGTCATACTTCACAGTACAAAATAGATTTTCCGTAATTCAAAGTGTCCGCGAACTTTTCTAACGACCCTCGTACATGTACCAACAATTTTTAAATTTTTGAATTGTTTTCAAGAAAAATTCTGTGTATGGGTTCAATAAGGAGGGGGGCCCGCTGCGTATGACCCTTGGCCGAGGTCCTGAAATATAATGTCCTAAGATCGAAAACCCTAACATTGGGCGGCTTGTGTTTTTTTAGTGATAAATGTTAGAAATTCCTCTGGCATACATCTTCCTTTGAAAATCTTAATTCACTTAGAAACAAACAAATCTACTTCCTCCTCAGCTATGTGTATTCGTCCATTAAGTCATAACAGTATATCTTGGTCACAATGAGTTCATCAAGTGCTCCCCATCGTCTGTTTTTGTTGATATATTAACAAACCACCAGATATGTTGATAATTCTGTTAATTATAAACTAGTTTTCTTATTTTTCCAGATTGCCATGACGTATACAAACATGGTGGACTTCGTTTCCAGGGAGATTACTACATTATGCTACAACCAGAAAAATCCCAGAAACCTTTTAAAGTTGTCTGTAAATCCATAAATAATACCGGGGGTGAGCACAGTTAAATGTCGGCAATCATGTATATGAAGTGGCTATAAAATATTGTTCAAATTGGCTTTTTTTTTGCAATGTTGCATACATTTGACAGCAATATTTGTATATTTGTCAGGTTGGACAGTGATTCAGAGACGCCAAGACGGCTCAGAAAATTTTTACAGAGACTGGAAAACATACAAAAACGGATTCGGGTCTCTTTCCGGAGAATTTTGGATGGGGAACGACAAAATCTACGAACTGACAAACCAAGGTGATTTATTATATACAAACAAATATCACAAAATGAATACAGCAATAAATAAACATTAATATCGTAAACACTAGTCATTGGAAAGACAGAAGGTCCTCAACATGGAGTATTCAGAGAAATCGTCATCATGCTTTGTCTTGGTATTAGTTGTACTCTTCCGGTTCCTCTCTAATAGTACTGTCTTGGAGACGGTTAGCTTCGATTTCTTTTTTGCCGTACTTAACTTTAAATTTATATATCTGACCATCCTCTGAAAAGAAAATATAAAGGCATCAAAGTAATATAACAGCTTACCTTTTCTTGTCTAGCTTTAACCAAACTTATAGTTCACACAAAATCTTACTTGGATCTAGGTAGCGACCATCAAAGTTTCTGTCCTGAATCGACACAGGTCGTCTTTTGATGGTGGTAACGTAAGGTGTGCTGATTTGGGGGTTAGGGTTATGATAATTCCTGGGTGTCCTTGGCTGTTGGTAGCCTGTTAGTGACGGTACACTTTGGGCCCGTGTCACCACTCTTCCGCCATGACTTTCCCATCTGGAAAGGGCGGGGGCGGTAAAAGGTGGTCCTCCTTTACTTTCATTTACCTGTGATGGATTTGCAAATGGAGGTGCAGTTCTTATCACAAAAGGTGTTTGTGGTTCTTCTTCAATAATGCTAAGTTTTCCCGATGCAAGTGAGTCGCCATCGGGTGATCTTGGCCTGTATCCTTTTGCTACAGGTTGTTTGTTGGTTACCGCTGTCCAGGGATAAGCGAAAACTTGGTCCTGGGCGGGCTGGATATGTTTAGTATTGTGGTGGGGGCAGTTTATGTGATCATACAGCATGGACGGAATATGTAGGCTGCTGGTGCTCGGAAAACAGTGGCACACGGAAGGATCAAAATCTTCGTCGTACAAACTATTTCCGTCCTCGTCCAGTCGTAGAACGTTGAGCTCTATCCGCGGGGGTTGGCCTTTCTGTCTTGGTAGATACGCTGGTACTGGTCGACGCAAAGGCGACGCCATAATGTCCAAAATAATGTTACACTTTAGCCTGAAATAAATAAAAAAAGTTTGTCATAAACATTGGTCCGTTATTTATGGGATACGTAATAATGTAGCAGATACCATTACCACTTATTCCAACTATGTCCCTGGCCTCTTAAGTATTGGACCAAATTATTGATGTCAAAATGTATGTTTGTTTAATGAAACCTCCTAGCTGCGCTGATGAATGACCGTTTGAAAGAGTGGAAAGTTAGCTTATCAGTATTATAACATACCGACACATTGTAAAGCAGCCTCTCAAAGGAAAATTGATAACATTTTGACTTATCGGAGGTGATTTTGGTCTATGGTCCCATGTTGCTGATATGATGCAATTGTTCTTCAATAAAGGTCCTTAGTAGAGCAAATAAAGCGAGACTGCAATTTTTCAAAACACAAGGTCAAGTTCAAAGTTTAAAATTCTTTATTTTGAATAAAAGATGGACTTTTCTGTACTATCTCTAATGTTTTTTTTTCCTTTTTTTTGTTTTTAGGACCTTTCCAGTTGCGTGTAGATATGGAGGATTTTGATGGCAGGAAGTACTATGCTGTGTACAATTACTTCCGGATTGACGATGAGTCCGAAAACTACAAACTTCACGTGCGAGGTTACCATGGCGACTCTGGAGATTCTTTGACCTCAGTTCGGGACAACCACAACGGAAATATGTTCAGTACGCACGACCGTGACAACGACAGGCGGGGTTACAACAACTGCGCGCGCCATTACAGGGGCGGGTGGTGGTACTCCGACTGCTACGACTCTAATCTTAACGGACAGTACTACCCACAGGGTAAACACATCAACTTCTTTAACCGTGACGGCATTCATTGGAATAGCATCAACATGAGCTCTTCGTTGAAGTTTGTGGAAATGTCTGTACGGCCCGCAGACGACACTTCGTCAGAAAATGAGGTGTAATTTTCTAGGTTTGACAGCGCATGCTCAAAGCCTTTTTCAGAGGTGCTTATCGTTGGAAATATGTGATTGCTAGTCAGATTTGTTGTGAAAAGTTTTTTTCATGAATAAACAATTGCAATTCATGAAAGGACACGGAAAAACATAATACTCAATAAAGCAAGAATGCTTTGGAGTTTAACATATTGTGATAATAACCAGATTAATGAAAGAAACGTTTACGGTGTTTGAAATCCAGTTTTTCAAACACTTGTGTCCTGGAAAATTAAGACGAAATCTCGAATTGTTCGAGGATGTCCGAGATGATTTTTTTCCACTGCCAGTCACTGTTTATGATAATAGAAATGATGTAGTTTCGCAATATCATTGCACAAAATGCCATTGTAAATATTACCCTGTTTCATTCATATTCATTAGTCATTATTTATTTGCTAAATATACGTGAACATTTCAATTCACATGTTTCGATATTGTATATATGTAAATAGACGTACATTACACTTGTGAAGATTTTCCGTTTTGCAATAAATGGAAGGTCTAAATTTGGTAACTTTAGTGCTAATCTGCATTCTGGCGCTAACAAATGAACTTTGAAGTGTTGAACCAGCCGTTATTATATCTTGTTCAGCACAGAATTGTTACAGTTTCACTATGACGTGTCTACAGCATTGTTAGAAATCTTTTCATAGAGATATGGTGTAATATATTGATATTCAGCAATGTCATTACGTTGTCATTCTTTGATTTTTATTTTTATATAAAAGATTTAATTGTTGGATCGTGATTAAAGCCTATATGTCCGTGCCTTTCCTGGTCGATTAAGTACGGGTAGATCGAAATAAAGAAGATCCCTACGTCTTTGAAGAGTTTGTCTTTTTTATGATTGGTTGGAATGTTTAGTGGAAAAAAATATAAAGTTCGTTCTAATGATTGGTAATTTTCATATTAAAAGTAAAGCCTTGCAGTCTAAAATCAAATTCAAAGTTTATGTTGTAGAAGTTCTGTAGCCTAGGTATCTGTAGCTTGGATGTTTTTCATGTGTGGGACAGGAACAAACAAATGAATGTCACTTAATGTGCTATTTATGCAAAAAAAAAAAAAAAGAGATAAAAATATCATTAAATACTTTACACTTTGGCAATATATATAAAAATATGTGTGATTCTGCATAAAACCGAAAATGGCTTTTTTTTCAAAAAGTTATTTTGTTTTGCATAAAGAAAAAAAAATGATATTCAATGATAACAACATACTTTAATAATACTGTTGCATACTATATAAGAAATTCGAATAATGTGCCTTGATGTTTGCGAAAATTAAGTAAGCGTGAACGGTTGCAAGGTTTTGAAAATACAATATTTGACAGGTGCCCCATCCCAAATCGTACAAAATATTATTGCAAGAGAATTGCAAGTACACGAAAAAAGAATTCATGTGGTTGACAAGCAAATATTCAAGACACCTAAAAATTCGAAGTTCTTTTATTTTGGTAAACAAAGAATGTTTGAAAGATTCATTTCTGAATCCTTGACAGTTGACACCACGCTTTCGTATGTGACATATTCTTTTTACAACCCTATCATCTTTCTGGCAGTGCTTGGCTTCTGACCTTGGACGTGTGACAACTATTTACACTGGTATTGCCAAAATCATGATGTCGGTCTAATGGTCATTGGCAATAGTTCCCACCAGCTGTTATCCTGTAAACATCGCCTCAGAGCCCGGATCTTCGTGCTCACTATTACACTGTAATTGTAAAGAGCTCACGTGGACGTGAAAGAAGTATTATACATGCTTCTTTATTGCTGAAGTGGTTTTTTTTAAAAGTCTACTCCGGAAAAGAAATATCTTCTAACAACACATGTACACTGCTTAACCAATTCAATTGTTCGCTGTGTCATAAACTAGGTTCTTAAGAGGAAACAGACAAAAAACAAAACATCGCGTCCTTGGACCTCAAGCTCAGACTCATAATACAAAGTATATTTATTATATTAGATCTATGTATTGCTTACTAATGAGTTTGGCTAAAGGTTAATGAGCTGTGATCAAATGTTGTCCCTAGAGTGGCTGTGGGGTTCCAAAACAACCGATCTTGTCTGCAGTGTCTAACGAGTTGTTATTTTAGTGAACCATATACCAGTCAAAGTTGGCAATGCACTTCGTATCCAACCACCTAGAATATTATTTTATGTCTGTAGATTATTTGTTTATCTATCAGATGATTAGTGGGAAATAAAACGATTGCACGTACATCTTGTGTTCCCCACAGGTCTACAAATCCCGCTCTATGACGTAACACAGAATTATAGAGATGCATAAGGAAATCTACTGGAATTTCAAAGTCATAAGATGAAACATCGGTGAAAAATTTGAAAAATATCTTTCATCAAATGCTTCAGATTAAGAACATCGTGTGTCCTTTGAGGCTTACGTAAACTGACTTCATTTTTTTTTCTCTTATGGGGTCAAATACTGCTTCCGTGAGAAGAGATTCCGAAATAAAATATAATGTAAACTATTTACATGAACAGGAGAATGGTTGTCTTAAATAGCAGAGAGGCTTTTTTCACGATCTCTGTGTATTTACATTAAAACATTCTTGCAAATCATTTGATGGAAGAGCGTCTCACTCCGAGTGCATTTAGTCTCCATGACCGACGCAGAACATCCCCCACTTTAAGGGCCCTCTATTCACTGCACTTTAAGGGCCCTCTATTCACTGCACACTAAAGAGTTCCTATTCTGCGAAATTTTAAGGCGTTAATATGATCCTCTTTTAATCTAAAATTGCAATCTAAAATGTATTACACAATTTATAATGAATTCTTACCTTTTATTAGACCAGGCGAGATAAATAAAATTGAACACTTACTTTTGCTAGTATTTTTTCCTATATAAGTAGGTAAATATGATAATGGAAAACTGACTCCTTCTGACGGATTTCAAAACGAGACGTTTGGACATGCATTCTTATTAATTAAAAGAAATGTCATGTAAAGGGTTTTACATGTAAATAATTGCAAAGATTTATTCGGAAGATCCGTGACTCGATCTTGCATTATATTGTGAAACAGATAGTATTGCAGATTTTTCTCCTGCTGGGGTCTCCTTAATATCAATACATTTACTAATAAATGATGAAAGTATGTTAAGGTTACCTTGAATTTAGTATCTTATCTTTTGCACTGTCCATCTGATTATCACAAACGGTACAACATTTACCGCTATGTAGGTCAAGCAGGAGTTCGAGTCCGTCGTTTATGATTTCCATCAATCTATATCATTTTCAATTAACTGAGCTTCTTTACAAACATTAAAATCCATAAATGTATCATATTTAATTTCAACAGTTCTAATGTTATCAAGTGCGCTTTACTGACCTTCAATTAAAAAAAATCTCTTTATTCGTGTTTTGAGTTACAGCAGATAAAGCTATGTTATATGTCTAAAGGCCAACTTTTCGCCAAGTATGCTTTACTTAGGTATATTCAAAGAGATCTTAGCAAGTTGTATACACGTGTATAAAGAACGTATTGCTGACAATTGCTTTGAAAACCATGTTGTAATACCTCCAATACAAAAATCTTTAAAAAAGACTGAAATATTTGTAAATACAAAATTTCTTGCTTTAGAAACTTGGCAAGATCAAGGTCTGGAGATACAACAGGAATCCCAGCTTTCCTTTAACCGAGAGATAGGAAAAATCGCTCTCTATAATCTTTCAAATGTACTGCGTCAAAAAATATTTTACCCCCTTACTTTCAGGATAGGGACCGATTGTGCTATCTAAATTTGCTCTTAACATCACTGGAGATTAGATATGCACATGCAAACATAAATCATTTTTTTTCAAACAAGTCAGTGATAGTATTCCAATGCAATTCCAATTTTAAATACACTGTATTCGTTTTAAAAAGTAACATTTTATACTGCAATAAAGTATGTTACTGCTAGATATCTGTGTACAGTTTCTATTAACATGTCTTGGTATTTTGTTTTTAATAACTATATTTAAAATGTATATTGGAAGATTAAAGCCAGACTGATTTCCCTTTTCTGTCTGAAGGGTCTAAAACAAAAAAGATGAACCGACATATAATAAAATAAATTGGTATTTCCAAACCAGAATGAACAAAATGAGTCCATATTAAAAAAATGAATAAATAAAACAAAAAGAAACAGATCCTTAGCATACAATATCAGTTAAGCATTACAGTGCACAATATTAGTAAAGCATTCCCAGCTAACAATCAATATCGGTAAAGAATCCCCAGCTTACAATATCAGAAAAATAAGCATTCCCAGCTTACAATATATGTAAAGAATTCCCAGCATATAATATTGGTAACACATTCCCAGCATATAATATTGGTAACGCACTCCAAGCATATAATATTAGTAACACATTCCCAGCATATAATATTTAGAACGCACTCCCAGCATATAATATTGGTAACACATTCCCAGCATATAATATTTAGAACGCACTCCCAGCATATAATATTGGTAACGCATTCCCAGCATATAATATTTGGAAAGCATTCCCAACATACAATATTGGAAACGCATTCCCAGCATATAATATCGGGAAAGCATCTACAGCATAAAACACCGGTAAAGCACTCTTAGAATGCAATATTGGTAAAGCAATCCCAGCATACAAAATTGGTGACATATTCCCAGCATACAATATCGGTAACGCATTCCAAACATACAATATTTGTAGAGTATTCCCAGCATACAATATTGGTAAAGCATTCCCAGCATACAATATAGGTTAAGCATTCCCAGCATACAATATAGGTTAAGCATTTGCATCACTAAGTATCAGTATCCTGTTTAGTTTTTCACTTTAAAGTTTTATATGTGTAAATCTACACTAAATTTTGAAATATTAAAAGGTTTTCAAACGATAAGCCCCCTAAACGCATAACGCTGTTTAGAAATCAATTAAAGTTTCTATGCTCTGTTTTTGATACCAGTACAAAATGTTTATTCAGATAATCTCTCAAACTTTACTATGTTTCTAACAGAAAACGGGGTGACAAGTAATCTACATATATGAATGACATTGAAGTCAGAAAAAAAAACGAATTTCTATATTTAAAAAAATGCTCAGGATTTCTAAGATCGATGGTAGTAAGAGAAACTGGAATTGTGTAAACCCCGTAATATGATACGCCCCTTGATCTTGTTTAAGATGACTTGTATTTTTATACTTTATTAAAGTAGCGGTTTTTCTAAAATGAATCCTGCACGTAATATATTAGAAGTCGTGATTTTCAAGTAATGAACTCAAACACTCGTAAGTGGACATGAAAAGATCAGATATGAATCAGCACCGAGCCAACTTATTCACTGAACTTCCGTTATAAGTTGAATGATCTTCAAGAATGGAAGGAAACTGCTCTCGATGTAGAGAGGAATCTCTTATAGTCTTATCATCGGAATATTACATAGATAATAGATACATCATGGATATAAATGTAGGCTACAGATAACGGCGGCAATTATTTTTTGTAGATGCTTTGAGTTAAATCGTCTCCGAAAGAGAATAGAGTGGAGGTTGATTGGGTTTACCTTAAACAGCTGTTAATTAACTCAGGAGAAGTTGATTGGGACAGTTACGTGTAGGAAGTTTTCAGCTCTCAAGTATTAATGAACAGAGATTTCTATTCTTACTGACACTGGGCAAATACGTAAAGTAAATAAAGTGTTCAATAATATATATATCGGTCGTTTTAAATGTTAAAAAATTATTAAAATGCTTGAATTGATTAAAAACTTCGTAATATTCAATAGGAATAATAATCTTATTTCCAAGGGCAGATTACTCTAAATGCATGACATTTCCACAGAATCAGAACATAAGAGGGTAAATTATTACCTGTTTAAAGAGCAATAACTCAGCTGGAACAAGTTTGTCTGAAGACTTAAAAACAACTGAGAATTCGGAGGAACTTGAAGTCCCTTCTCAGTTGTTTTTAAGAAGGATTCAGACTTAAGTATGGAGATGGAAAATAATATTCAGAGAAGATTCAATCTTTCTTGAAGATACTTTTGTAGACTTACACTACCTGTAATTATGAAATCTCAAATTTCAATCTCACCTTTCTTGTAATTCCGCGCTCTACGTGTTCCTTTATTTCTCCAAATTAACGGATTCACAACATATTCTGGTCAGTTATTCTGTACGTCAGTAATATAGAGTGCAATCATTTACAGCAGTTCCTTTAAAAGCCCCCACCAAGAAAGTAAACGATAAATGAAAGTTCCGGTGACGTGAACGCACTTTTTTTCATTCAATTCATTGTAAATGATTTTTCCTTTTTGATGATCATGAATAGATATTATGTAGACTAAGCAATCTATTTAAAGTTTTTCAAAGGTTTACGGTAACTGAGAATTTAAAGTTTTTGTGAAGTGCGATGTAAACATATATAGTGTTTGCGGATTCTCTTTAACCTTGTAACTCGATTTTTTTGGTTCCGTTTACATTTTTCAAGATATAATCCGGTATAATAAAAGTCAGACATGATGGATAGTACTTATTTGTTTATTTTATTTATTTATTTATTTTACACTTAAACGTCAAGATACAAATATTTGGACCTATATAACGTCACAAAAAATCTGATCCTCCGGATATTGCACTTGCTAACTCGCCATTGATTTTTATATTCAGTCTGATTCAAAACATTCGAGTGAGTTTAACTAGTCTCGGACGTTTTAGTCACGGACACTGCATAAGAACCTGGAGTGACAGATTCTCTCTAGCCAGTAACTCTGTTAAGGCTGAGGAGGGAATATGCAACACACATTCTTTGGTAAAGTGTGAATTTTTTTAAACACATCTTGGAATTCATCGATGTCCGGAAGTCCCCATATCTTCCTCGTACCCCTCGTCGTCATAGTAGTCTTCCTCTTCCGGAATGTCAGCCTTGCTGTAACGGCTTCCGCTCCGCATGCGACTGGGCATGCGTGAAGACATTCTGCCATCATTTTGTTCAAGATGTCCATTCCATGAAATGTCATATGGAACGGCTCTTTTTCGGACTACAGCATGTAATAAAGAAATTAGTGAAAATGCTTGTTGTTATTACGAATCACATTGTGAAAATATAAACAATCAGACAAGACTATTGAAATTAAAGGAATTACAGGTGTTAATATCATACCTGGATCAAAGTACACCCCTTGGAATCGCCTCGTTTTCATGATAGGTTTTTGTGCTCGTGGTGATGGTGACATTCGGATATCCGGAGCCGAGTGTCTACCGCTTTCTCTGGATATTGGAAGTTCCCTTTGCTCTGAACGGAAAGACTGGGAAGGTTTAATGGAAGGCTTCTTTTTGTCTTTGTGCGTTGTCATGAATGGGCTTTCTGGCAGCGGAGGCAGAGCAGGTTGTGATCTTGCTGACAGACGAGACCTTTCGCGGGACGGAGGCGGGGAGTGACCAATCTGAGGAAGCATTACTGGATAATACGCTTCCTCTCTAGTGATCGGTCCCTGTGGCTCATCTTCCTCCTCCTCATCAAAATCATCATCATCCATTTCCTCTACTCCTGTGTCATTGTCGTCTTTTTTCTGTTGTTTCTTTTTATTGTTAGATTTGCTTTTTGATTTTTTTAAATTCGGCTGAGGCTTACTTTTAGTGGACACGGCATCTATATCATCTTCCTCGGATAAAAGATCTTCATCATCATCATCTTCATCCTGATCATCCCCCTCTTCATCATCTGAGAAGGCCGGTAATACTGGTTTGGGGTAACCATACACATATTTCATCTTCGGTCGGGGAATTGTCCTTTCTTTCTTCTTGTTTTTCTTTTCGTTGCCCTTTTGTTTGGGAGCCGTTTGAACGTCTCCTTCAATCCAGTTATCCTCGAATCTAAATACACCTGCATGTGATTGGCCTTTTAATCCAGTGTGAACACAGGTTATATTTTCATAAAGCATGGAAGGAATGTTTTTATTTTTTCGTCTTGGGAAACAACTACATGTTTCATAGTCGTCTGCAGTTTCTGCCCTCGGTCCTTTTGGTTTTGTTGATGGGGGCGGTGCATATTCTGGGTAATAATCCACAAAGGAATTATCTTCACTGACATCGTCCTCATCCTCTTCTTCTTCATCGTATTCATCTTCATTTTCGGCCTGTTGACTAGGACCTGCTGCTCCTCTGGATCCGCCCGTCTGAGATGGCCGGGCCGAGATTCTGCCTTGTTGAGATGGTCGTTGAGACCTAGGTGTGACGGCTTGTTGAGACAGGTTACTTTGTGGGATAATTTCTTCCCTATTACTCCAGCCTCCAGGACTTTGAATCACTGACCGGTTTCTGTCCTGTGTTTGTAAAACAGACCTTTGTCCATCCTGGGTTCTCTCTCTAGATCGAGGATCCGTCTGCTGACTCCTCTGTCTGGACCTGTTATTGTTCTCATAGTCTTCGTCATATCCTTGTTGAGATCGTTGTCTAGATTGGTTGAGGTTGGGTTCAGGTTGAGTTCTCTGTCTTGATTGATTGAGGTTGGGTTCTGGTTGAGTCCTTTGTCGTGATTGGTTGAGATCTGATTCAGGTTGAGATCGTTGTCTTGATTGGTTAAGGTTTGGTTCGGGTTGAGTTCTCTGACGTGATTGGTTTAGATTTGGTTCAGGTTGAGATCGTTGTCTAGATTGATTAAGGTTGGGTTCTGGTTGAGTCCTTTGTCGTGATTGGTTCAGATTTTGTTCAGGTTGTTGAGATCTTTGTCTAGACTGCTTGAAGTTTTGGTTCTGGTTCGACCTTTGACGTGACTGGTTGTCTGTCCGGCTTTGTATTTGTCGTCTGTCGTCAGACTGACTTTCTCCGTGTTGGGGAGGCCTCGCCGACCCTCTCGTTTGTTGTTTAGTTCCCGCTCTTGACCCCTGTGACGTGTGTTTCAAAGTCCTCGCGGCATCATTCATAGAAGTCATAATGTCCAGAAGACAGTTTTGTTTCAAAGATAGATCACAAATACCTTACAAACAACACATCCAAAATTAAATCAATGGCTTTTACACTCTATTGCCAAGAAAGTTTTATTACTTAGTAGTATTTTATGTGGATCCGATACAAGAATCCTTAATCCGAATTATAAACTTTAACTGACCCGGAACAAGTGGCTCATAGCATTTAATCGTTGCCCAATAACAGTCTCAAACACGAGTGCCATGTCGCATACTTACAGAGTATTTACTTTCTTCACTGACCACGTATTTCACATATAGAGTCACACGTGTTTTACTTTTTAATGCCTTCTAATACTTTACAATCTTTTAAATTACTCATAAATTCATACAGTTTTGTAATGTTTACTTTGACAACAAAGTATTTACAACCCTTTTATATTTATGTAAATTTCAGCAAATACCGCACGACCGAAGAAAATGAAGAGCGGGTGGAGTGGGGGCAGTATTTCTGCTGTCATATGTAGATGACATTGGTAGTCTCTTTAGAATTGCTATCGAGACCCTCTCCCCCCTCCTCTTTCCAAATATCATTTTTTCCTGTTGGTGGACCGAGCTTCTGCTAGACCTGTCTACATAATTACACTATATATCACAAAGATACATAATGATAATTGTAGCACGGTATCTGCCATTGGCAGATACCGTGCTATAATTATCATTATAGAAGTAAAGCATTTCGATGAAAACTGAATCGACTTTTTAAAAAGAACTATATGAACTTTTTTAAGTCCCCTATCGGTGAAACCAGGATGACTAATGTTTATAATGTTTCTAGCTGTCTGTCTGTTGCTCCGTCTGTCTGTCCGTCTAGCTGTCTGTCTGTTGCTCCGTCTGTCTGTCCGTCTAGCTGTCTGTCTGTTGCTCCGTCTGTCTGTCCGTCTAGCTGTCTGTCTGTTGCTCCGTCTGTCCGTCCGTCTAGCTGTCTGTCTGTTGCTCCGTCTGTCCGTCCGTCTAGCTGTCTGTCTGTTGCTTCTGCGCTTTTTTCCCCAAAAACGCTTGAAAATATTGATTTGAGTTTTATTAATTACAGATCAAGTTTGCATTTCGTTTCGATTAATTGTTTTTAGGAATAAGACCATTTTAAATAATTTATAGGGATTTTCCGCATAATTTTGCCACCCGTTTTCTGAAAGTGGGGGATATAATGTGGGTTTGTCTCTTTCTGTCTGTAACACTTTCGTTTACGCACGATATCTCGAGAAGCCTTTGATTTTTTGCAATAAAATTTTACAAAATAACTCCCTGTGGCCTAAGGAAGAACAGGAAGAAACCCCTCCCCAACTGATTTTGACCTCAAAGGTCAAGGTAATAAATCCTACACTTTCATTTCTCCGATATATCGAGTAGCCTTTGAGCTTTTACAATATACCATAACTCCCTATGGTCTAAAGAAGACGTCTATTGATTTTGTGGTCCAAAGGTCAAGGTAAAAAAAAAAAATACATTCTGTTTGTCTGTATCACTTTCATTTCCGAACGATATCTGAAGAAGCATTTGGGTTTTTTACAATAAAATTCATACCATTACTCCCTATGGTCCCGCCGCCCCTACCACCCTTCGACCCCCATCCCTCTAGATCCGCACATGCTCTTTTTTTTTCTTAAGCGAGGGACACATATTCTCTGAATTAGCTTGTTTCCAAATGCTTGCAGATACCGAGCTGATTTCTAGTATGTGATTATAGATTCTACCTTGATAAGCTATGGATCAAGTTCGTATTAAGTTATCCTTCTAGGATTTTTTGACGAAAATCACGAAATCAAATTTTTAGTTTTTAATGCGAAACCGTTAACGAATTGCACTACCGGCTAAATGTACTGTTCATTATTTTCAAAAAAAAAAAACATGAATGGTAGTAACCTAACGTCAGAACTTAAAGATAAATATGACTTGAACTTTTCTATTGCGAACTTCTCTTACTTCTCTAGCAGTATACATGTACCATTGTCATCTGGATATAGAGCTTATGTCTCCCTTTTGATTCCATATGCAATAGCTGCAGTAGCATGCTCTAAATCTAGGCAAGCTTCAGACAAATAAGTTGATAATACAAAATATCATCGATCTTGTTTAAAGCCAACATTTAGCAAATTTTAGTCGATAAAATGGCCTTAAGAGGAAGCAATCTATCAAGTCAAATGTTGAATGGAATTTTTCATAAAAATTGTTAGGCCATTATCATCTAAAGATTTTCCTTTGTCTGATCATGACAAGGAGTACAGATTATATGTGACTGGTTGACAGGGACACTCAGTGGCACCTGATCCCAGCTCTGATGTTGAATGAATGGGTACAAAACTGATACCTCCCCCAAACCACCTATGATGAAAAGGTCAACATAGTAAACGTTTTCGGTCAATATTGATATTTTTCTGGTGAAAATCAAACCATATTTACCACAGAAAAGAGTCCGTATTAATTTAGAAATGCTGCATTGAACAAAACTTTCCAGGCATGAATGTTTGGTTTGATAATACATACTTGAGCTCCCTGCTTAACCATGAATGTTTATGATTTTCAACATCAGTCACTTTAAAATCTGAGTTCCATGCAGGATTTAAAACACTTCAGAGCAAGTACACTTAACTCAGTCATTTTTTTAAAATTGGTATGGATACAGGCATTATAAGCTCAAAGCCAATGTCACCTTAATCCTGGCATCACAGACATATACAGTAAAACTCGGTTAGTACGAACACGGATATTGCGAATTCACGGATATAGCGAAGTTATTTTGGATCCCCAACTACATGTATATGAATTTAATGAATTCTTTATACGGATATAACGAATTACGGATATAGCAAAGTGATTTCATAGGTCCCTGTGACTTCATTATCACCGAGTTTTACTGTAGATGATAAACGCAGTTCTATCTGCTTCCCCCTTCCCAATTAAAAAGAAAATCTTGTTTGTGATGTTTACATGAAGAAGCTGCAATATGTAGCCCTGTCTGTTTTTAGACGGGGTCACGTGACCCCGTCTATTAGTTTTTTTTTTTAATCTGATACACCCCCCCCTTCAAGAAAAATAACAAATAACCAGAGAGGTCTACATTATTCCAACTAGATATTAAGGTGATTGTAAATTCCAGGGAAAAATTCAATTTCAATTACCCTTATTAATTTGGCCCTCGAAGTTTCTTTGTACAATTCTCAGTATTGCTTGGACTTTCAGTAAGGCATGGCATTCTCGACGTTACATAATTAGCATCTAAAATTTACACAGCTTTCATTTACTGTTTAAATATTCATGGGACAGAAATTCAGGAGAATGTCAACGTGTAGAAAATAACCAATAACAGTGTCTCGTAACACAAAGAGGTGTATCGTGCGACAAAGAGGTGGGGCTTAAGTTGTCTCATTGTTTCCAAGAACAATTTCAAGTTCTTGATGTTATTACCATAATTTCTTAACCAATGAAAATCTATTCGCTATTGACAGATGCTAACTATGTAGCCCCAAGATTCCACGCCTTACTGAAAGTCCAAGGTTAACTGAGAATTGTACTATTTTCCTTTGTTGACTTGCCTTTTATGTTCAGATGTTCTGATTAAGACAGTAAATAACAAATTTCATGTACTTTTAATAATCCTCAAAGACTGTAACTGCACGTTATAAAAGTCACAAAATGAATTTTCTAGGTCGGCTTTTTAGTCCCTGAGCCTCGTGGATCTGTTGTAGGGGGGACGTCCGTAGAAGAATTCTCGGAAGATACCCTTATCCTTGTAAATCTCGTCGTGAATCTTAACTCCCTCGATTCTCCTGTCATCGCTGTAGTACCATCCCTTGTAGTCCTTGTTGTATCTCATGTGTTCATCCACCATATGGTGTTTACTCCTTAAAATGGTGAAGCATTAATGGTCATTCAGTGAAATAAGAAGCTTGCTTTACGTTAATTTTTTAAAAATAAATTTATTAGGTCACCTGAGTCACTCAGGTGACCTACTGCTATCTGTTTTCATCCGTCGTCATGTGTCATGCATTAACATTTGAACATTTTCAGCTTCTTCTCTGAAACCACTGAACCAATTTCAACCAAATTTGGTATATAGCATCTATGGGTAAAGGGGAACAAAAATTGTGAATTTTATGGTCCCCGCCCTCCTGGGGCCTGAGATGTTGGGCCACAACCACTAAAATTAATGAAATCTTTAATAATCTTCTTCTTTACTCCTGGACATCAAGCAGTCAAACTGTTGGCATGAATGTAATGAGCATTGAGTCCTCTACCAAAATTGTGAAATTCATGGCCCCAGGGTCAGGGGTTCTAGTACTAGGGTGGGGCTATATAGATTATATGGTGAAAATGCATTATTTCTTTAAGTCTTCTTCTCTGCTCCTGGGTTTTCAATAAACTAAGTACATAGTTATGATGAGGAAGAAGACTGCCTCTTCCAAAATTGTGAATTTCTTGGCCCCAGGGTCAGGGGTTCTGGTGTTAGGGTGGGGCTCTATTGATTATAGATTGAAAATGCATTAAATCTCTGAAAATCTTCTTCTCTGCTCTGGAATATTAAGTAAACTAACTAAGTACATAGTTATGATGAGCAAGAGTGCCACTTTCAAGTTTGTGAATTTCATGGCCCTAGGGTCAGGGGTTCTGTTGTTAGGGCGGGGCTCTATTGATTCTATAGTGAAAAGGAATTATATCTTTAAAAATCTTCTCTGCTCCTGGGTATTAAATAAACTAACTAAGGCTAAATAAAATTGAAGTCTTGGTTCTCAGGCCCGCGCGCATCCATTTTGAGGTAGCCGCATTGCCGATTTTATTGTATTTTTTAAAAAATAAAAAGTGGGTATTGCGGAGACCAATCCGGGAAAAAAAATTCCGCCCTCATTTGTTTCGTAGTTTAGTATTCAAATATCACTTCCGGTAGCCATTTACAATGAGATTTTGGCTACTTCGTTTGAAAATACATTTGAGGACATTACCTACGATGTTTACACGCTAATGCATTACATCCTTTACCCCCTGATGCCACCATTTGACGCTATGCCCCATTTCCCTGATGCCACCATTTGACGCATACACACAACAACCCTAAATTAGCTCTGTAATTTCCCCTGTTTCTAAATAAATTCAGCTCTAAATGATAGCCAATCATGTGTATTACACATTAGGTAATGTTACTATAATTAGTGAAGTCACAGCTTGGTGTGAATTCACTTGAGATTTACCTGTGTGAAAACAATGGCACCCAGTCTGTTTACAAGAAGAAATTGGGCCTTGTCACAAGCAAAATTCAGCCTTAATATTGCATTTTATGTAACATACCTTGGATTGTATTAATTAGCATTCACAATGTTTTTACATCAGTTCTAAAGTTGAATTTAATAGAAATAAAATTTTACAATGAAAATTAGAGGAAGAACATCATAGACTTTTTAACAAGAACAACAATGGCGGCCACAGATTTCCCATGCGTTTTATGAGTACTAAATAATCTTTTGAAGCATTTTTTTCCATCAGGGCATTGATTTAGATAAAACATGTATTAATTTATTTTCCCAAAGACTTTTGCAAGAAGTGGTCAACTAAATATATAAAATATTTATAAATATGCCTGCTTGAACATGATTGTGAAGTTTAATTGGCTCAAGTCTAAGATAATTACCTATCATTATTAATCTATCTTAATTAATATTATTTAAACAAAAAATAAAGAGCCTTTTAATTGGTTTGGTATTATATTTTAAGTTTACTGGTATATTTTATAGAAACTTTCTCTCATATAAAGGATAATATGAAGATTAGTTGTGAAAAATTCATTTTACCTGGTTTCACCTATATATTGTTTATTGTAGATTAATTATTCTTAGAAAATTATATGACAATACTAAAGTTCAATCCATTCCCCAAACATTGATATATAATATGTGACACTTTGATGATGTTCAGGTACTTAATTAGCATGTTCTAAATGTAATGGTCAGTCATTTCAAGTCAGTCAAAATGGCTTCAGGGGGCAGCCAGATAAACACTCTAGGGAAATCACAAGTGCGTCAAATGGTGGCAACAGGGGGAAAAGAGTTAAGCAATGGATAAGGCAGAGAATTTGACCAGAAATGGAAAGTATATCTGTGATTAAAAAATTATCTTTATGTTAAAGAAAATTCGGAAATTAAAATTAAAAAAAAAAACCTCCCTCATCTACTTTATTGCCAATAAAATGAAAAATAAAATGCCGTCCTCCCGCATCTGTTTTGGAGAAAATTGGCCTGAGAACCAAGGAATTAAATTTAGATAGCCTAAGTGCAAGGTTATGATGAGCAAGAGTTCCTCTTTTCACTAATTCACAATTATCTCCCCTTGGAAGAGGGGATGGTCCTTCATTTAAAAAACTTGAATCCCCTTCACCCAAGGATACTTTGTGGTAAGTTTGGTTGAAATTGACCCAATGGTTCTTGAGAAGAAGATGAAAATGTAAAAAGTTTACAACAACGCCGACGATGACATGCAACGACAACAACGACAACAGATAACGCACAAATTTTGATCAGAATAGCTCACAGGAGCCTTCGGCTCAGGTGAGCTAAAAATACCAACTTCTGAACTAAGTCATTTTTACAAAATGTTGCATACAGGGCATGTCATTTGACCAGATTACTCCTCCTAAACTTTTCAACAATGGATTTTTTTAATTTTCAAAACAATTTTTTATATGCAAGATATGCATATACTAGGACTATAGATATTTAATTTTAACTACATGGATTTAAGAATAATAATATTTGTCATTTTTATCTAGAATCTCCCAATCAGCCCCTTCACGATAACTACAGTACTACACTTTTGCAGGGCAAAATAATAATGCTTGGCGAAGTTTTTGTTGATAGATAATTAAATGACGTATCTTTAACAATTACTTTTACGTATATTTCGCCAAACTATATCATTTTGCCCTGCAAAAGAGCAGTATCGCAGTTATCGTGAAACGGTCTATAGGGAACATTGATTTTGTTGGAATTTCACCTACAATTTTCAGAATAGAAAAACTTTCATAATAGACAATATTCACATTTAAGGAAATAACTCTTCCAAATGCAAAGTTCATCTATTCATGTGAGAAAAACCACAGTTTACACAAAGAAAAACCTGGTAGGCTGTCATATTGACAGATTTCCATTTGTTCTTTTTTGGGAACGAGGGAATAATTAATTTTTGAATACAAATACTTACTTTGCAATTTTCCTCCTACATTTCAGGTCAATGGTATGCAGATTCCTTTCGTAAGCCTGTTCATATGATGAATAAACCCATTTGTGCATAAATCTTTGAACTGGAGTCTAAAATTATATAATAACATTACAATCAAGTGTATATACCTTAAAAAGAGAATAAATTCCATTAAGATGCAAGGTAATGTGTGATAATTAAATGGCTATCATATGAAGAGGCAGCAAGATAAACATTCAATTCTATTCAATGTTCCGTTTTTCATGTTGAAATTGACAGTAAAAAATTCAAGTCAAAATTTTTAACCGCTCCTCTAAATGGCCTTCTACTTCTGAGTTGTACTTACTTGTCATAACATGTATAAATGTGTTTATTTTAAGTGATTTCCCCCATTGAGAGTACTGACTGATGTCTATATTCCTGTAGCTGTGATTTACCCATGAAACTACCAGGGTAAGTGGCTCCCCATGGACACATGACCTCCCCATTATTTATGTTTTTTTCTTGTGGTGTGCAACACATCTTGAGGTTATCCAAATGCACAAGTTCTCTCAGAGATGAATCTTACCCTACAGTATTCCCAGAGGTAAATCTTACCCTACAGTATTCCCAGAGTTAAATCTTACCCTTTAGTATTCCCAGTGATGAATCTTACCCTACAGTATTCCCAGTGGTGAATCTTACCCTATAGTAATCCCAGTGGTGAATCTTACCCTATAGTATTTCAGTGATGAATCTTACCCTATAGTAATCATAGTGGTGAATCTTACTCTATAGTATTCCCAGTGGTGAATCTTACCCTATAGTAATCATAGTGGTGAATCTTACTCTATAGTATTCCCAGTGGTGAATCTTACCCTATCGTAATCATAGTGGTGAATCTTACTCTATAGTATTCCCAGTGATGAATCTTACCCTATAGTATTTCAGTGGTGAATCTTACCCTATAGTATTTCAGTGGTGAATCTTACCCTTTAGTAATCCCAGTGGTAAATCTTACCCTATAGTAATCCCAGTGGTGAATCTTACCCTATCGTATTCCCAGTGGTGAATCTTACCCTATAGTAATCCCAGTGGTGAATCTTACCCTATAGTATTCCCAGTGGCGTGGTTCATATCCCTCGGGAATATCCTTTAATTCAGCTGGACCTGTAAAGAAACTGTACCATAACAAAACAGAGAAAACTTTAATAATCTATATAATACACTCCAACTAAGTATAAAAGGTTAACAATCTAGTTTTAATATATTGACATTATGTTACTCAGTTTGTTAATCATGGAGGAAGTGAAGGTTCTCTAGCAAACTGCATCCAGTTCAACAAATATCTTCAGGTTACCCTGAAATACAGCTGACATCATGACATGCAGTCTCTTTTAAAAGAGTTATAGACACTTGAACGTAGGTCTCGGACTTACCTATATAAGTATTGACAAGTCCTAAAGCAGCAACAGGGGCCATGGCAATCCAGAAATACTTTATCTATTAATAAAGCAACATAAAAAAGAAATTAATTTTTATTCTGCACATCTTCATCTTTTCTCCTTAATCTTACTCTTAAACAAACACATAATCAAAGTCCTAAGGAGAATCACCAACAAAAAATGCCCCTTTTAATCATGTTTATGTCTTAGTGTGTTTGTTTTAATTGCTAACTTGTGAAATTTTAAAATTAACTATTTAATATTTTTGTACATGTTTACAAATAGAGTAAGACACCTGTAGATTTTGGGATCGTGTCACTTTGTCTGTGTGTATGTCTGAACTCTGAATGTAAATCAACTATTAGTATTAACTACAAGTCATAGTGCTGCTTTTCAGCAGTGACCTCTATGTGAGTCCCTAATGTGCAGAGTGCAACATATAATAGCTCTTGATTGTATAAGGATCCAAAAAACATTGCTTCTTCAGTTTGCACACATTTAATTAAAAAAAAATAAAGCCAATTTCTTATTCAAAGGCTCTGCAATCTTCATTTTGTGATATCTCTCAATTCAATATGAATATTTCTAATAAATCATTGTATTTAACTTACCAGATCATCTCGCACATAATATTCCTTGATCCTGGTTCCAAATCTTGGAACACCAATATAACCATTTCCATAGTGTGCACTTCTCACCAGTTCTAAATAATTTTTTCAAACATTTGTAAGTTCTGACAGTTATTAACTTCCTACTTTTACAAGTTAAAAAAAGGTATGCGTTTCATTTATAGTAGTCGTTTTAAAGTCACAAACCAAATTAGTGATTGTCTATTTATTTTATAAAGAATTTTAAACAGAGTAAGTTAACAATTTCATTGCTTTAAAATTCATACGAATTTCCTCTACTCTACAGTTTTACCTTGCAGGGCCGACTTTGATTTCAAGATTTCACTTTTTGTTTGTGGTGTTTTTATCGCTAGACTAAACATTTGTCGTGTCCCCTGTCCAGGAGCGATCCTCAGGCAGCTAAAGAGGATCATTTTGATCCCTTACTACCCTTAGCTCTTGGATTTTTTAGTCTCTTCGGCTCATTCAATAATTTTTGGTAGCTACAAGGTTGCAGCAGGTTCGCAGTAAATGATTTATAAATTGAAAAATTGACGGACAATTTTTCCGGACGTTAAAGTGTCATGCATTTTTAAAAGATATTTTTATATCCGTAATCCTATATAATAACGAAAGCTTTGAAACAAATGCATAAAGTATAATGGAATTCTAAAATAACTGTATTTAAAAAAAAAAAAATCGACCATAAAATATCGGGTTCGTTTTTAGCAGTACCTAAGCGATAAATTTAACCTCGTTTCCCGAGGTGGTAATTCCCCGATGTCTACCGAATGTGCATGCAGTAGGCCTCGAGAACTTAGATACAGAAGCTTTCGCAAAAAATTATTCAGTGAGTAACTGAAAGTGTGAAAATGGATCTACTTGGTTCCATTCTCGGTAGCATGCAAAAGCCGCCAACGATAAGCGATGCAGAAAAGAAAAAAGCAAAGGGTACAAAATTGATCTTTCTCTTTTTGTAAGAAAACGTCAAATAATTAGTTCGAATTTGCTCAGTGCGTTCGAATTTGTTCGAATTAAGAATTACACCTGTTTATATCAGATGCGAATTATATACTTTGTCGGTCTGTTTCAAAAATTGGACCAATACGTTAAAATGTTTTGTCAGTCACTGTCAGTCTTGGTCCGATTTGTAAAACATTGTGGATGAAAATTAATAAGGTCAGTTGATCAGAATGTGGTCACTTGACTAATCCAGCTGCAGTTGCCTGGTGTATAATTTTATGATAATTGGACCAAAATTTTAAAATAATTTTTCATTCAGATTTTTTTTAGTTGAGAACTTGTTTAAGGGTTCAAGAGGCACGGAATTGAATATTTATCTGGTCCTCCATGTGTACTCGGGGTAGACTTTACTTTACCGGTCCCCAGATCCGCAAGAACCTCGCGCTCATTGGACTATGATGTAACAATATGTCACTCAACTGAAAATGGGTTAAATCTGCACACTATATAGAATCTATTTGACTGATTAGGGTTAATCTTGCACCCACCTGACAGATCAGGGTTAGTCCTTGCACTAGTATTCAATGATTTATTCAGTTGATTAGGGTTAGTCTTGCATCCATCCGAGAGATTAGGGTTAGTACTCGCACATTTTTCGACTGATTAGGGTTAGTCTAGCATCTGCCGGGGATATTTTGTCTAAACGTCGTAGTCCTTATATACCATCCGATGGATTTATAGGGTTAGTGACTTGTTCTTTTGGATAAGTTTAAGAAATTCAGTTGTTTCTGTAATTTTTCCAAGATCATGAATCAGCTTCAATGGTATTTCGTTATTTGTTTACATGGAAGAATGGCTGTGTCCAAAAGAAATGGCACTAAGCATGCGCGGCACGCGCATCATTCAGAATTATTAAATTTTTACAATGAATCAACAATATTTATTGATTTTTTTCAGAGAACAGGGTTAAAAACTACATTTAAAAACGAAATTTTAAACTAAACTTTTAACCGTACAATTCAATTTTTGGGTCAAAAGGCCAAAAACCCTCGTATTTAATTTTTTTTCAATCACTCACGTGATCTCATTTATACTGAAGTTGCCTTCAGTGACATTACATTTAGCGTGTTTTTCTGGGGACTGGTAAAGTAAAGTCCTCCCTAGTGTACTCCTTTCCTGCTTTTGATGTTTGAACCTTGACCCAAAATTGTCTCGTGAAAAAAAACACCTGCATTCAGTATTTAAAATATGCAGATTCACAAACCAACAACAAACTTTGATCGTATGGTAATTCATTACAATTTTCTTTGTTGAAGTGTTGTAACATTTTTTTAAAATTATCAGAGCAAAAGGTTTTACTTGAGAAGCAACAAGAAAAAGAGAAGAAAAGTTTGCAAGAATTTAGAGAAAAGGTATGTTGTTCAGGCACTTTTATTTTAGCATCCATGTTATAGAACTGTAAGTAAACATTTTGAAGCATCAGTCAATTATAATACAATTTGCAGATCTGATGACTATGATAGTTTTACTGCAGGTTATTTTGTGCATGTTCTGCTTAATATACAGATTTAATTTTGTCACTTTCATATGAAATAAACATACATGCATGCATACATGCATATTTCAAATCCAGCCACTGCACATATCAGCTCAAGACCAACTGCTCTCTCACTGAATGTTTTTCAAAAATTACAGATACAAAAAAGAATACATGATTTTATCAAAGATGGGACAAAACAGAAGAGCAAATTTGAGCCAATGGACAAAGGATGGCGATCCATAGTGTAAGTCTTATTTAGTAGAGAGGGTCTTAGGACAGAGGATGTAGAGCCATGAAGTGTAAGTTTAGGTTAAATAGAGGGGGCCTTAGGACAAATGATCATGGCGTAAACTTGACATGAAGCCTTTGAGTATGATTATATACTTAATGACTTTATTTTGAAGCCAAGATTCCTGACTTCTTCACCTTTCTGAATTCAGATGAAAGCTTGTTTTTTGAAAGAATTGTTTTTTTTCATACATCAAGTATGTTTTAGTAAACTGGACACATATTTAATCTCAACGATTTGCTGAGGAAAAACAAGTGTCCTGATTTATTAAGCTTGACTGTATACAGTGGATCCTCAGATATTCGGATGCTTCAGTTTCCGGACGATTATTCATGGGAACAGAATTTTGTGAATTGTATATATTTGTCTTTTCTAGTCATGAAGTTGCTGATGTTGCAGGGTTGACCTCCTTTTCCTTTGGTGTAGAAGAACATGACAGATATGTCATGGTTTGGAAGAAGGTAACAAATGCTATACAACTGACAGAGAAATGTTGCAAACTGAAAGTAAAATATAATACACAGAATACAAATTTGATGAATGTTACACTGACATAAAAATGTAACATTGACATACAAATGTTACTTTGACAGACAATTGTTACTTTGACCATGTTGACATACAAATGTAACACTGACAGGCAAATGTAACAATTACCTGCAAATGATACTGTAAATTACTTTTTATACAAATTGACAGTGTGGCGAAAAAATGTAACAATTACCCACAAATGATACACTGACATATAAATGTAAAGCTGGCAGGTAGATGTAATATTGACACTAATGTATTTTTGACAGAAATATTTGTACACAACATGTTCATTAATTAATGATTCATAACATAGACTTCTTAGGTTGTTTTTTAGTTGTTTTTGGTTTGATACTGTAAACAGGGTAAGCTTTCTACATTGAATTCTATTGTGAAGTGATTGTGATGATTGTGATATGAGCTACCTTGACATGTCTACAGTGTGCTCTGTGTCTTCTGCAGTAACAGTGCTGTGTGTTTTGTAGGAGTTTGCTCCGACTGATGACGAGATAAATACCCTGAGGGCCGGTAAAGAATGGGATCCAGAGAAAGCCAAAGAACTAGAAAAACAAAGGGTCAGCACACATTAGATTGAATAGATTCTAATTCAAAACTAGTGCTAATTGTAACGGGAACCGTTACAGATGTTCCCCAAACGCTCCCCAATTCATTTTTGGTGCCATATTCGCTGTAAGCTTCATTAAATAAGACAAACTCTGTGCATTTTTGACTTTAACAACGTTTTCTTAGAAGGATACCAATTATATTCAAATTCTAGCATTGCACCCGTGCGCATGTTAATGCATGTGCGTATTAATGATCATATCATCTTGTCTACACTATCTACATATTTAAATATACAATATATTAAAGCATTCAGTCCAAAAGTATGAAAAATCATTATTTCAAGTGTATTTTTCATTTCACTCGTTAAAGACGCACGTGCGTGCACGTGCATGATGAATACCTTATTGTAGGAGTCCCTTATATCTATCTATATTCTAAATCCCATCCTGTTAGGTTGAAAAACAAGGGAGTTATAGTCATTTCAAGTTTAAGCCAATCAGATTGCAGCGCACGTGCATGCCCGTGATTTCATGATTTTTTCTTTCTATATCATATTGTAAGATATCCTAATGCATGACTTTGTATTAAATTTCAAAGCATTTCGTCAAAAAACAAAGGAGATATAGCCATTTAAAGTTTCAGCCAATCAGATTGCAGCACGCGGGCATGCGCATGCTTTCATGAAAATTCTTATATATCATGCTGTAGATCTTCATAATGTATGACTATATTCAAAATTTCACAGGATTATGACGTAAAACAAGAAAGATTTTGAGACTTTAGTTTCAGCCAATCAGAGCAAAGAGCACGTGCATGCGCGTGAGATCTTGCTATTTTGACCATGTCGTTTTGTCTATGCTTCTAATATATACTTATAATATGAGTTTCAAAGCATTTCATCAATAATTTAAATAGTTACGTCTGTATCAATTATATTGGACATTTATCGTGTTGCACGTGCGAGCTCTTGCAAGCACATGTGCATGCACATGCTTTCATGATAAATCTTATGATGCAGGCTGTAAATCTCCCTAATGTATGACTATGTTCAAAATTTCAAATGATTTTATCAAAAAACTAAAAAGATATTGAGACTTTAGTTTCAGCCAAAGAGCGAAGCGCAGGTGCATGCGCGTGCGATCTTGCTATTTTGACCATGTCATCTTGTGCATACCACTAATATATCCTTACATTATAAATTTCAAAACATTTCGTCACAAAATAGAAAAGTTACGGTTATATCCATTATATATTGGTCATTTTAAGTTTTGCACGTGCGCGCTCTTGCAAGCACGTGCGCGCAAAATGACCTTGTCCGCAAATCTACATAACATGCCTACTTACCCTAAAAAGGTTTCACCTAAGTCGGATGTGTAGTTTACAAGATCACTCGCGGAAAAGATTTTCCCAGGAAGAAATAATAATAAGAATAATAATAATAAGAAACAGAGTAAAATCAATATGTTCCCCAACTTCGTTTGGGGAACATAATTACTTGTAATTTGTTTCATCAGCATGAATCATGTTCCTTCTATCAGTTCTGTGTGAAGCTATTATAAAAAGGGCCATATTTCCAAAGAATATTATTTTTTACCAGATCATTCAGAAAGTTAATCATAATAATATAATATAGTCCTTCAAATGTATATTTTAGTCTCAATGTCTTACTTATTAAACACTGAATACACAATAGTGTCATTTTGTAGACTATATGTTGAAATTATTTTTAAATGAATATTACTAATGGGGTCATATTAAGGGGTTCTTTTATTTGTTCAGTGCCTTTCCAATAACATCTTTATATTTGCTTAGAGAATTTAGAACCTTAGATTTATTACTTTACCAAAGTTGTAATCCATATTTCAGGAATTAGAGAGACTGAGTGCTGAGGAAAATCCATCACATCAGAAGAAAATAATCCCTAATTCTAACTACAAAGATAAGTACCGGCATCTGATTGGTGATGAAGCGGCAAAGAAAGGCGCAAAACAGACGACAGCTAACAGATCGTACGGATTCGGTAAGAACCAGCGAAGCATGTATTGTATGTCTGATAAATTCCTGTAAACATAAATATCAGGTGTTCTGGAACTATACAAATAAAAATTTACCTGAGAGTTGACAGATTACTTGCATAATGTGTAAAAGTTTAATGTCATTCTATGTAAAGTATGACAATATGCTTTTGGAAATCCTGAGTAAAAAGGAAGGAAAGAGAAAATACTTGTAAAAATTCATATATCAAGTAGTCAATAACAAATGGAGATGTTTGATGCAGTCAGATATGAGTTGTTTGTTATTTACAGTGCCAAGTGAAAATAAACGAGACCATAGGACAATAGAGGAAGTGTTAGCGGAAACCAGGGCCAAGAAAAAACTTAAAACGGAGGCCCAGAAAACTCCTGTCAGTGGTCCAGTTAACGAGGGCCATAGCTCCCCCACTGTGAACTCTGGGGATCAATCGTCAGAATCAACAGACAATAATTCTTCCAGTGTTTGACCCGTTACAAGATACAACATTAATGCAAAAAAAAAAATCCATGTGTGATGACATTTACAATGTTTTAATTTTGTTTTCTGGACTGAGTTTTTATTTTTCAAGCATATTCACTTTTTATTTTTCAAGCATATTCACTTTTTATTTTTCAAGCATATTCACTTTTTGTAAATACAGTGGTCCTTCAGATATCCGGACGCTAGATATCCGGATGCTTCAGTATCCGGACGCTTTTTTATCGGAACAGAATTTTAAAATGTTATACTGTATACAGGGTTATTTTTGCCCCGTCTTATTTTCGCCCTTTCACACCTACAAACAATTTTGCCACGTTTTAAATTCGCCCAGTCATAGGTTTGTTTATGAAATTATACTGTATTCTTTGAATTTGTCCCATTTTAAATTCGCCCAAATGAGGGTTGGGCGAAAGGGGCGAAAATTTCCCTGTATACAGTAATGTCTTGTTTAACTGGTGATTCAGGTATCCGGACGCTTCACATATCCGGACAAATTTACTGGGAACCAAAGCGTCCGGATAAATGAGGCTCCACTGTACATTGAAGAGAAATTCTATTTCTTCTCTGATGAACTCATTCAGGAATACATGTATATTCATGTGCAGAACTACTTATCAAACGTATCATATAAGAGGAATGCATCCATAACATATGATTAGAATGCAAAACATAACTTGCATTGACAAATTTTGTTCATGAAAACTGTATACACTCTACATAAGTCAAAGTGTACTCTCCTATTAAGAAAATTATTATAGCTACATTTATGTATGCAATTTGAATTGTGTTGAATACCATGCCATATTGAATAAATGTCAAATAAACTTAATATTTCATTGAAAGTTATCTTTTTTTAATCTAGGTAATTTAAAGGAGAGAAGCTTTTTCATCAAGATATTACCCCCTTTTGACTATAAGTCTGTAGGAGCTATGGTGGTGTCAAAGAATTCTGTTTATGAAAAAACTTGCACCTATATTTCTCTCTAAAATCAAAAACAAAAAAATCCCCAACCAGCTGACATGTTCATAGTTAAGCTGCAGAAGATCTATGTCTGTAACTGTAGCTGATGCTGGTAGTACATACTGTAACACATGTTAAAATTTGATTTTAGCATTCAAAATTACTTTAGCAAAGGTTTTTCTAAAGATTCATTTATTCACAATTTCACAGACTATGTAAAAAACAATAGTACAATCAAAAGATAAAAAAGAGCCCCCCACATGGTACTGGAGTAACTGCTATGTCCAGAGTTACACCCCTTTGCAGTACAGTGACACTGGGTGACCTCCCCTTTGAAAGGAACCAAGTCTGTGACGCAGTGTTTGTTGTTTCCACTTCCTTCCATGAGACCAGCTACTGCAGTCTCTGAACAGGATCTGTCCACTGAAACAAGAAAATTCATTAAAAGTGACGTTTTTCCTTGGGGGCAAGGCACAGGCGCGATCCAAGATTTTTTTTCAAAAGGGGGGGGGGGGGGGGGGTCCAACCTAGTCCAAAAAAAATTCCAGCCCAAAAATGTCTTGACAAGCAAAAAAAGTAAACTCCTTATTTTCCTAAACGTGAAAAACCTATTCCATGGGGGAGGGTGGGGGGCTTTTCTAGCGGGGTCCAAGGTCACTTTTAGTTGGTTTAGTAAATACATTTAATAACCCTGCAAATGCCAGGGGGAGGGGGGTGGAGGGTCTTGACACCCCCCTCCTCTAGATCCGCGCATGAGGCATATGCACACAATAAAATATGTGATATATATTCTTTAATCTATTTTTTAAAAATTATGTTTGTATTGTTCTTACATGTCTGGATGAATTTACTGGATCGCTTCACTTTAAGACAAGCAAATGGACATTCTACCAGAAAGTCGGATCCGCCCCAGAAAGGGTCGCCACACCGAGGGTCGTGTTTGGTACTGCAGTTGTAACAGGGTATTCCTGATGCTGTCAAGAAGCAATGTGAAAAATTCAAATACATGTAACAATTCTGTATGGTTTCACCCCATGCCTATTCTATGCTCCCTTGCACTTTTTAAGGGATACTTGTTCAAATGTACTATTACGTCCACATCTACATGTGTCCTGCATATTAGCTGCTTGTTTTCTGGAGGAGCATGATCCGTATTCCATCCGAATGTGAGATCATAACCTTTTGGTTTAAGTTTTTGTTTCCCCGTCCCTAACAAGTTCAGTTTTCCCCCAAAGGAATTAAACCCTGGCCTATATAGCCGCTTTTAAGGTCACCTGAGTCAGGTGACCTATTACTATCCGTTTTCGTCCGTCGTCGTTCGTTCACATTTGAAACATTTTCAGCTTCTTCTCTGAAACCACTGAACCAATTTCAACAAAATTTTGTATACAGCATCTATGGGTAAAGGGGAACAAAAATTGTGAATTTCATGGTTCCTGCCCCCCCCCCCCCCCGGGGCCTGAGGGGTGGGGCCAAAACCACTAGAATTAATGAAATCTTTAAAATCTTCTTTACTCCTGGACATCAAGCAGGCAAACTGTTAGCATGAATGTAATGAGCATTGAGTCCTCTACCAAAATTGTGAAATTCATGACCCCAGGGTCAGGGGTTCTAGTGCTAGTGCTAGGGCGTATAGACATGAAATAAAATGAAATTCCATGTCTAATAAGTATCGGATGGGGTGAAGTAATTGAAGGACATATTCAATAATTCCCAATACATGCGTGGATCCAAATTTTTTTTCCAGGGGTTGGGTGGGTTCCACCCTAATCAAAAGAATTTCCAACCCTGAAATTTCTCGACAAGCTACAAACGAACAAACTAAAAAAATCCGTTATTTTCCATTTGCGAGGATAAACCCTATCTCGTGATGGTGGTTTTGGGATTCACCATTTTTAGCGGGGCCGGAGGGGGGCCCAAAGTCATTTTTATATGCTTCTGTCCAGAAAGGGGTCTGAACTCTCTCCCCTTCTAGATTCGCGCATGTCACATGTGTTCTTATCTGGTGTAATTGCTCAAAGGTATTGAAGGTTAATGTTGATTTTCTTAAAATGCATTTTTAATTAACATTTTATGAAATATTTAACGAGAATGGTCACTGCTGTTTTCATATAAATAATATAAAATTGTTAACAATCAAACCTTGGTTGATGTTGATGCAAACAAATAAACAACAAGCTGCAATCACAAAGGAATCCATGATGATGTCGAGTTTTTGTCGTCATAAGAAATTCTAAAGGGGAATAACAGCTCAAGAAAGGGGGACAAATTTGCCAATAATTTAGAAAATAATGTTAACCAAAACTAATGTTATTCCCCTTCTCCGGATGATTCCTTATCGTGAACTGAGGTTTTCATGTCTCTCGTGATTTGATTCTGTAGTAAATCAAACATATTACTACAACTACATGTATATTTACCATGTAGATGAAAAAAATCTGGAATATTGTAGCTAATTGTAACTTATGAAACAAAGAAATGAAACAAATCACTTAAAATCGAGAAGGAAAACGGAGGAGAAATCATTGTAGAACTCTGACCTCATTGTTTAGATAAGTAAAAGTATTCATAATTCATTTTGGAAAAAAAAATACATTTCTGCAAAATATCCAAATTGAATACATCTTGTAAGAATTCACATGCGGTATAAAGATATTTTTTTTCAATATAAATTTTGTATATAAAACAATAAATATTTTGCAAAAGAGAAAAGTTTGTCGTTACAATTAAACAAGCTTTTTTTATTCCAAAGATTTCAGATTGATAAGGGTTTCGTTTTTATAACTGATAGTTTTGTTTTTAAAAAGGAAATCTAAAACTTCCCGGAGAAGAATTTCATTTTGGGAGAAAACACGAACAAAAAAAAACAAACAAACAGAAAATTGGATTAAACAAAGACACAGTACTAACATGAAAAGTGGTCTAATTAATACCTTGTTTATTAATATCCTTATATTAAATATTATCTTTTTTTTTTCTTATCCAAATGTGAATAAATCTGGTTTTATATCAACTTTTTACATGAGACCACATAAATGATTTGATGTACAAGAGTTGATGATAAATCATTAACTTCAAAAAATAAGCAAAATTAAATTTATGTATACGTCAAAACAGTTTGTGGGCTAATTTTAGCTTTATTCAAATCTTAATGTCACGTGGACTCTTCCACGGTCCGATGAAGCGGCTTCTATTTCCCCTTGTGGCGCCCCTTTCTTTAATGACAGGAGTTAATTTATTCCCCCGTGTCTCCGACTCTTCACTTTAGACCAGCCAGCCAGTCGGATTAGCGGTCACAGGTATGTTATCCTTTAACTTTCCTCATTTCCTTTAGATTTATTAATCAATTAATTACTGCAATTGATATTACCGGGAACAAAATCATCGATTAGCAAAAAACCAGAAAAACCAATAATATCACAAGAGAATTCAATATACCAAACCATTGACGTCCTTTCTCGACAGTTTCAAGGGCAGCTATCAGTTACTGGCTATTTCTACATATACGCGTAAATGTTTATTTATTTAACAAATAAGTTTACCTAAAATGGACAAAAAACTTTTTCATCTCAGACGGTGTTGATCTTGGTGATGTAATGTTATGTAATATAAAACCTGAGATAATCTTTGGCTTTTATACCATATTATACAAAATTATCTAACAATTTATTGTTCTCTAAACTAACATTTATGTCCCTCCCAACGTTTAAATCCAGTACCTCCTCAAAGCACCAGAATATCTACCATAAATTTTGTTTTTAAAAATGTAGACTTGACTTTGAAAAAAAAAATGTTACAACACGGTGTATAAATATGATGTAGAACCGCCTGAAGGTGTACGCACTACAACTCAATTAGCTTCAGTTGTCTGGTGGACAGAGGTCGAGTTGTTTGTTAAGTTGATGTTCCTGTCAAAATTGTCCAATATCTACATTTACAATTCTTGATTTATTTTGACACGTTTATTATGCGTGTTCAGTATAACTTTTGTAGAAAACAGCAAATATTTGAAACCTTTTTCTTAATCATTTTAAGAAATTGCAAATTTCTATATTTTTACAAGTTCCTTATTTTTCTTTCGCGAATGTTAATAAGTTTTAATTATTGGTTTATTTAATAATTTTTGTAGTATCTTACAAGGAACACTCTTGTACTAAACGCATTATAAGTTATATTAGTTTCAAAAAATATTTTTTAAATGTCATTTCCTACCTTGATAAATTAGCTAAAACAAAAGAAAGGAGCAAGGTGCCCTTGATGCATATATTCATTGAGTGAAACAAGTGCTTTAGACTGTAATAAATTTTGTCAGCCAACACGTATGTAACACTTGTCAGAGCGACCAGAATTTTACATAGCTCATGTTTTATGGATGTTCAGAATTTGATTAAAGCTTAATTGACCTATTTAAAAAAAATTGAAAGAAAACTGGAAGAGATAAATGTTTATTTGATTACTTTGTATATTTGTTTGGACAACTTTCACGATACGTGAGATCCCCTACCTCTTTGTCTTTCAGAAATCATGGAAGTCAACTCGCTACTGATTGCCTTGATTTTCCCCGCCATTGCGGTTGCCCAGGTTACCAACACAGGTAAGAATTTAAAACATAAAAATACATATTAAATGTACATGCATATTAATTTATGCAAATTGAACTTTAATGAAATAATATACTTAACAGAAACTTTCACATTGGGAAAAACATATAAAATATATTGACGAAATCTTGTGTTATATTAAACATGTTACAGTTGAATTTAAAACTAGGCGTTACATTTCTTCCCTTTATAAGGCTGTAGTCTGTCAGTAAAATCTACAATTTACAACTACAATATATTTACTTTTCTCTTGTAAATGGTAACTATATATAAATTTAATTTCCCGCGCTTGCGCGGGTGTTTATCTAGTAGTTAAAAAAAGGGTGAATAAATACTGATTTCTTTTTTTTGGTCAGTCTATCTGGACAACTCGGCAGGAAATGAGTGTGGGAAATCAACCAAGCTGTCCAGTGGATCTCAGATCCGCCTCAGCACCAATGGGAAGACAGAGGACGGGTACTGCGGCTTCCTCATCCACCGAATCTCCGACCCCAACACCAAGTGCCCTTTCCCGGGAATGTGCGCGCGCATCGACAACTCTAAAATGACGTCATGTCAATCTAAAGTAGCATTTACAGGAAAATATTTCGATAAAACTCCAGATAGTACACAGGTATCAAAACTTTTTAAAAAGCTCATTTTATATGAGAGTTTAACGGATGACCATATGATTCTGAGAGGAGAGATGCTTTATTTATGCATTTTCCTGCCTCGCCGCGCAGCTAGGACAATTAACTGTTTTATTCTGGACAACATTGTCGCATTGCAAGGATGATTTTCCAGGGACATTTATTTCCAAAATCTGCCAAGTCCTCATCCATCAAAATGAATCTTGATAGTTCCCTTAAGTAATCAATTGTGGCAAACGATTAGAAGATAGTTAATCGTATTGGTACTTTTCTTAAAACTATGGCAATTTTGTATGAAATGTCTTTCAAATTGAAAAGATTCACTTCTATCATTGCAGGAACTAAGCTGCTACATAAAACCAAAAGGAGCTCAGTTCTGCACGCAGGCGCCAGCCATGCGCGTGGAGGTGACGGAAAAGCCCGACTATGCAATGAAAGAAGCTCATGATTACGGATTCAACATCACTGTGTACTCCCAGTGTTTTGACAACAAAGAGGCTGTTATTGTGGAATATGTTGAAGATGGTAACAATTTTCTTTCACGTTTAGCATGCACATAGATTCAGAAACCCTTAGCAAAGTCTAAAAGGGGAGTGACTCTAGCACATGGTGCGTAAGGGGTGGGGGGTGGGGTGGGGGTTCACGGGGCCGTGAATAATATTGCCAATAAATATACTTTACAAGGAAAAAGAAAGAAAACTAACTGTAACGTCTCCTCTATGTTAAGTAGATAACTATTGCAGGCATTGTATATGTACGACTCACTAAGTACAAAACACCATATAATATATATATATATATATATATATATATATATATATATATATATATATATATATATATATATATATATATATATTGTGACTCAAAAAACTAATATTAATTTAGCTATTTATTAATTGCCCAATGTATTTTTATTTTATATGCACTTATAAAATACTAATTCTTATTTATTTTAAAACCACAATGGTGACTATATGCAATATTATAGTACTAATACAGTTAATTATAATAATTCACATTTAACTTAGTACAAATAGTCTATTGCTTTCGTTGTTTTGAATTTAACTTCTCCGTATTAATATGTTACATATTATTTGTTTTCTGTACATACTTGTTGAAAGTTGTTGGCAGTTTATTTTGATAATATTAAAAATGATTTCTTTGGTAAGTATTCTGTTTAGAAGTCTTTTTTTCGTACTTTTTTTAATTACAGAGATTGCTATACTAGTATATTTTTATTTCGTCCAACTTAATAAATATACTAGTAAGCAGAATTCTAGTTACTGGAGTTTGATCATTCAGTATTAATTCAAATTGCTGAAAGTTAAGATATCATTTCTGAAAAATTGAATCAGCATTACATTTTCTCACACTTTTTTTTAAATGTACACGTACATGATAAATACAAATTTAAATCTTTCTGTTTAGATCAATTTACTAAGGTTTATTCACTTATTAAATTGATAGACATAATTTAGGTCTATCTTAAATTAAATATCTTCCAAAAGAAATCAAATTCAGCATTAGAATGTACACCGTCTCAGCATACCCTGACGTGGAAAATTATGACATAAATCATGCACCTTCTGATAATTGTACAAAGGAATGGCAGTCATTAATCTCAGTAGAGTTATCTCTCTTACCAGATGGTCAATGCACCTTAATTGACGTAAAGCCTTTTGTACCTCACCCATATTTCATGAAAATAATTCCCCAATACCATCAATACAATTTATATTTACTTATCCCATGCTTGTTAAACTTGGAACTACTTTTTTGTGTTTGAGAGTTTAAAAAGGGGGAGGGGGGGTCCACACCATCTGCATGCAGTTGTTGTTTTCCTGCTTTTCCAGACCATGACGGATCAAGGGTCACATCGAGCTTCATGAGATAAAAGAACTCTTTCTAATCTGATATTTTCTGTCTTTTTCTTTCCATCAGATTATAGGGCTCCCAACTTGGAGGAGGGCTGGCACATGAATTACATCTTGGGCATCGTCACAGCCTCGTGCATTTGTAGCATATTCCTTATCATATTGTGTACAGTCAGATTGTACACGCGCAATAATCCAAACTACAGAAACTTAAGTAGCGACGCCAAAAAATAAAGACACACAAGAGTGACCCTAGAAAAATTAATAAATATTTCAATTTCTCCTTTTTATTTTATTTTAACTTTATTAGTGTAGTTCGTGTTCTATGTATGTACTTGTAATCGGGTCTCACTAACCAATAGTAGCTCTTTGCAATCTATCGCACTATCACGACACGCCATTACTTACACTTTCGAACAGTTAGCCAACATTTTCATGTTTGATTTCTTTATTGGTCAGTCAAAGGGAAATTGATTTGAGTATATGGGGCGTTTATGTTCTTCCTTCAGTATGTAAATTAAAATTGTTTAAATGATATAATAATTTTTTTAGGAGTACATTTATAATCCATGTTAATAACTTACCTATTGTATGAAATATGTTGCATGCGCAACAAGAAAATGGCAAAATTAAGAAACAGGAGATGAATGGCATGAATGCAAGAGATAAATGCTCATGAATATTGTGTTTGCTTTTTGGATACAAGACTGACAGAAAATGGCTGAGAAATGAATTGCTTAAAATTTCCAAGAAATCTTTATTAAAAGCTTGCAACTTTTAAAAAAAATTAATGCTTTTAAATTCTTTAAAATTAATGCTTTTAAACTTCAGATGGACTTGAACATTTTTGCATGATAAAGATTTGGAAGTTTTTCTATGGAGATTTTCAGATCGGCTGATTTTTAGTTATATTTATAAGAACAGAATAGTTCGCACGTTTCGATGAAATGCTAGCTTTTTGGGTCCCTGTGACCGTGCATGTTTTCGCTAACTGACACACTGGCTTGCTTTCTTACAGACTACAAATCCCCGGATCTGGAGGCCGCATGGAGAAAGAACTACATCCTGGGAATTATCGTTGCATGTTGTCTATGTAGCATTTTCCTCATCCTCTTGATTATTTTGAAATTTTACTATAGAAACAAGCCTTACGCTGGAATCAAGGAGGACAGATAAATTTTAGGTCTCTTTACAGTTCGGTGCTCTGTCTTTCTGCCTTTATATCGTAAAACAATGTTTTTGAAGAAAATAAGATCCGAAGTCAAATCTAATTTGAAAATTCAGTATGATGAAAGTCCTTTGAAATACCTTTTCTTCAGGGACCTCGGAGCACCGGACTGTATTTTTATAACGAACCAAAGAGCATTCCTCCTCAAAATGTAATGTACACTGAACTATTGTCCAGGGCAAACCCTTGTGAAAAACACGTCTACGTTCATAAAAGTTTTTTTTACTTTATTAATAGAACACCATAATGAAGTTGAACTAAATGTTCAGTGTAACATGCCAATGTAACGAAACATTTAAAACTGGAAATGCCCTCCTATAATGATCTTTTATATTCTTGCACGAATCAGCAGTCAATAATTTAAAACCGAATTGTATCTTCTTTACTTGTTTAAACTTTTAGAAACATTTGTTGTAAGTCAAAATAATTGTATATTTGTAAAATTTTGCTAAACTCCGAGAATGTGTTACAAAAAAGATGAATTGTGCTCACATATCTGATGACGTTTACATTTTATTTTAAATCTGTGTTGTCTTTGTTGTATATAATTTAGAAGTATGTACAAGCATCTTTGTGACAAACCATATTATCTGTAAGTGTACATGTAGTAATAATCAGGGATTCCTGGAATCGACTCTGTAGCAAGATAAAGGGGGCTCGTCACAATATGAAATCTCCCTACCCCACACTATGCTATAGTGTAGGGGTGGGGCAATTGATCGATTGTGACAAACTCCAGTGATTTGATTCAGTTAGCATTGTCCATTATATGTCTATGAAGATCTTCCATCATCAGTCAACGAATCTCGATGTTCTAGTCCGACAGAAAATAGCTTTGTTTTCTCTGTTTATATATGTAGATATGTGCAATTCTCATTGTTTTTGAAATGTTTTTTCTTCATGCAATAAACAAGAATTTTTAATTACCATCACACTTGTTCATTATGTTTTGTGTTCTGAAGATGACTTCTGAAATATTTCTCTACGCTTTGCAAATCTTGACTTCCAAAAGCATAAAACATGTAAAACATCTATCTAGGTACCAGTATGTATGTAACAAGAGGCCCAGGGGCCACATCGCTTACCTGAGTACTGTGGTGAGCAAAAATCAGTTTAGTATTAAAAAGCTTAAATGCATGAGTGGTCCCAATCTACCCATAAAAGGCGTAAGGGGGAGTGGATACGATATGAACAAACATGAATCGAAACATACATGACAATTAAACCATGGCATTGCTGTTCTTGATAAGAAGATTGTTCCTACTGGTATATATATACTCCTATAGTAAAATTTGATCGTCCATTGTGACTCCACCCTACCCAGGAGATCATGATTTGAACAAACTTCAATCTACACTACCTGTGGATGCTTTCACATAAATATGAACAATCATAGTTTTGTTGTTCTTGAGAAGAAGATTTTTTTTAGGATTGTACCTATTATACTCCCATGTTAAATTTTCATCATCCAGTGTGACTCCACCCTACCTAAGGGGGTCATGATTTGAACAAACTCGAATCTACACCGCCTCGAGGATACTTCAATATAAATATGACGGGTGCATATCATTACCGCTACATTTTCAAAATGTTCATTACCGCTACATAGTCATTACCGCTACAAAAAACTTACATTACCGCTACATAAAAAAATACATTACCGCTACATTGTTTATTTAGCCAGCAACATATGCTTGTACAGTACAACCTATAAATGCATAAAACCCGTTTCCCCTGCTCATTATGGGGAGGTGAAAGTAGGACTTTGACCAGGATGTTTTTTTTTTCATTATTAAAATCAATTTTATTTCATAAAACACAAAAAAATGAAAATCAAGCACTATTCATAGATAAAGTTCTAAGTTTTGTCAAATGTTTTTAACACTCTTGCTAAAGCCTTGAAAGCCATTTGCGTGACATATTAAGGTCTTCCGTCTTCAGCGGAAGACCTTTCTGTTATTCTTAGGTTTCTTTTTCACTTTTATTATTGTTTTTTTTCTTACCGATTTTGTGCACGCAATCGAAAACATGAATTTTTATGAAACTTTAAAAACTTTTTATCATCATAACCTTATGCATTTTTTTTCTTTTCTGATTACGTCACTTCCGGTCTGAGATTTTGCCGATTTTATGAATTTTAAAGGGTCAGGTTGTCCAGAGTTTTTCTGGAAAATGGGTTCAGATGAAAACTTTCAGGTATGATAGACGTCTGTAGATGTGCCTTTCGCATTTAACTTTTTCCGGAAACGCCGCACGGTTTTCCAAAATAGTCCTGTCGAGAATTTCAAAATTTCTAACACCTTTTCTTCGATATCTTTTTACCTAGAAATATTTTGTTAAAACATATAGAACAAAAGAAGTATAATTGAAAAGATCTTTCAAAAGATATGTACTGAAAATCTGAAAATTAAGGGCCTAGAGGGAATCGTAAGTTTTTTCTTTATATCTCAAAAAGTATTGAGAATTTTTAATAGGTCAAAGAAGCAAAACAAAATGTCAAGCCTATCTAATGAATTTTCAAAAAATATCAATGTGCGATTGTCATATAAACCGGAAGTAGATGAAAGAGTCAGAAAATGTTTGATATTTTTGCCATTTTTGACACGTTTCTGAGTAACTCGGAATTTTCATCTTTAGAAGGAGACATTGAAAGAAATAATAATTGCAAATGTTTATCCCCACGGCCACATACTGTCTCGTTTGAAATAATGACATGAAAGAAACTTCAATTATTCCATTTATATCACAGGAGAGTAACAAACCATTTTTTAATGAATGAAATTAAAGAAATAAAATTAAAAATCAACATATTCAAGTTCAACAAAATGAAGTATCCAGGTTTCATGTGATATGGAATGCATAAGCATACGTATATTAAACCATTTTTTTGATCACGATACATATAAAAAGAGTAGTCAATATTTATTCTGCATTCATTAATTTTGCTAAAAATGAGTATATTTGCACTGTAAACGTTTCGTCAAACGATAATGGTCTGCGACGCAAAAAAGGAAGGGGTGGGGGTGATAGGGGTATTCAAAAATTGCCTAAAAATCTACATTTAAATACGCTTTACATACGAGAACTTTTAAATTTGTAAGTTAATATACTTTTGAAGCAAAAGCAATATTTCAATTTAATTTTTTTTAATGGGTATTTGTAGATTCATATAACAAAGTGATAAGTGAAAGACGCGCGGGAACGTGATTTATTGAGAAAGGGGGAGGGGGTAATTTTCCCTATTAAATTTGTAACAAAATTATACAAAAAATAATGAAGTGCTACCAGAAAGTTTTTTACCAAAATTAAAGCAGGTTTTTTCACAAAAAAAAAATTATTAAATTTCAAGGCTTGCAGAGTTTTTATTTATATAAAAACGTTTTGATTATGTATATCAAAAAGATGACTATGTTTTTGTGTTAAATGGTTAAAAGAATAATCCAATGAAATTTGACATTTATATCTAACCTGGTTTTTTTGAAAATCAAGGTTTAATACATTGATTAAAAATTTTCTCTCCTTGTAAACCTGGCTAAATCGAGTTATGTCCAAAAACCAGCGATTTTGTCCAAAATATGCATACAACCAGTAAATATAGTCATATACTAAATATACAAAAATAACGAAAATTAAACGACAGGAATTTTTTGGGGTAGGTGTGTTGTACATCCTTAAACCATGGCATTGCTGTTCTTGATAAGAAGATTGTTCCTACCGGTATATATATAATGTAAAATTTGCGATAATGAAGTCATGATTTGAACAAACTTTAATCTACACTAATGCTTTCACATAAATATGAACAAAAGTTTTGTAACGGTTCTTGAGAAGAAGATGAGTCCCATGAAATTTTTGGCAATGTAGCGGTTATGTTAACCAAGGCTTTGATGTTTCCGAGATTTTACATTCCTATGTAAAACTTTGATCAGCCATTACAGTCCCATCTTATCCCCGGGGTCCTGATATGTACAAATTTTAATCTACACCACCTGCAGATGCTTCCATATAAATATGACAAATAATGGCTTAGCTGTTCTTGAGATTTTTAAAGATTTTCCCTATGATATTCCTATGTAAAATTTTGATCAGCCATTATGGCCCCAACCTATCCCCGGGGGTCATGATTTGTACAAACTTGAATCTACACCACCTGCAGATGCTTCCATATAAATATCACAAATCATGGCTTTGCTATTGTTGAGAAGAAAATTTTTAACGATTTTCCATATAATATATTATATTCCTTGTAAAACTTTGATCAGCCACGTGGCCCCGCCCTACCCCGGGGTGTCATAATTTTAACAAATCTAAATCTGCACTACCTGAGGATGCTTCCACATGAGTTTCATCTTCCCTGGCCCAGTGGTTCTTGAGAAGAAGATTTTTAAAAGATGCCATTAAGAATTTATTGCTAATTCATAATTATCTCACCTTGGAAGAGGGCATGGCCCTTCATTTGAACCCCCTTTATGGTATTTTAAGCCATTAATCTAAATCTCTATATTTGCCTACTTACAATCACATTTTCCCATTCTTTCCTTTTTAATTACCTCTTGAACAAGACATAAAAATCATATGCAGGTTATACATGTATTGGATTAATTTGCAAAAATTGGAGAGGTTGATGTAACAGCTGAAGTCATACTGTTTGTCATATAGTCAGTTCAACATATATTTAAACAAGATTTGTTTGTGAAACACTGATGCCCCCCATAGCAGTTTCTAGCAAAGGTTGAAGTTTCTCAAATGCATGTCAAACTCCAGAGGTCAATGTCAAAATTGTTGGTATCAAGAGGAATGTCTTTTCACAAGGAATACAAATATGTGAAACATGAAAGCCACAATACTAACTGTTAAGGTGAAGTTAAAAAATACTAGTATTTATACCAGTTTTAAAGATCTTGTCAGGATGAATACATATGTTAAGTATGAAACCCTAGCACAAACTGTTTAAAAGTTATCGCCAAGGTCAAAGTTTCTTTTTTTTTTTTTTTTG